TTTTTTTTTTTTTTTTGTGATTCTGGGGTTTGAACTCAGGACCTACACCTTGAGCCACTCCACCAGCCTTGTTTTGTAAAGGGTTTTTTTTTCAAGATAGGGTCTCGCAAACTATTTACGTGTGCTGGCTTTGAACCACAATCCTTCTGATCTACTGGCACTGGGCTTTTTTTTTTTATAAAGACAGTTTGGTTGTTTTTCTGTTTTGTTTTGTTTTGGTTTTTGGTGGTACCGGGGTTTGAATTCAGGGCCTCACACTTGCTAGGCAGGCTCTCTATCACTTGAGCCACTCCACCAGCCCCGAGAATAATTTTTTGTTTATCCTAAGGAGAGTCCTTTGCTGTAGATTTTTAGTGATAATATCTAGCTTACTAAGTCTATGTTTTCTACTCACAGAATACCCTAGAAGCAAGTTATATCTTTTTTCTAAGGTTTTTCTTGCTTGTTGGTATCTTCTCTTTTTTTTTTTTTTTTTTTTGTGAGACAGAGTCCTCATATGTAGCCCACAGTGATCTTGAACTTATGATCCTCCTGCCTCAGCCTTCTGAGTGCTGGGATTATAGGAATGTACACTTTATATCCTTTCACTTTTTATGGAATTACTTGTTGAAAACTGATGAGAAAGTTAGAACATTACCCAGTAGTCACAGATTTTGATGCCCCTGCATTGTGAGAAGTATTGCCCTGGCTTTTTATCTTGTCCCATGGTTTAAACTTAACTCTGACAGCTAAATTATTTTTCCAATTAAAGATGAATCCAGGTTTTTCCTCTATGGGGATTTATTCTAGCAGTACAAGCAGCAATCGATGGTATCCTTATAATAGAAATGACCAGAAATCCTCGCAGCAATGAGCACCCCTTACACTTAGATTTATGGTCTCTTAATACCAATTCCCACTAAAAGGAACAAAGCTTGCTCAAGAAATGACTGATCTGAGGCAGGAAATACACAAACCTGGAACTTCCGAAGAAAGCAAGCAAGGTATCAATAACTTACACGTTCATGTAAAAGAACTCAGGAGCTAACTTGAACAGGCTCCCACTGATGAAGATGGACTTAGTTGAGCATCAGTAAAATAAACTCTGTGCTCTGAAACATAGAAAATATGTTTAAGCTGGGCACTGGTGGCTCATGCCTGTATCCTGGCTACTCAGGCAGAGATCAGGAGGATTGCGGTTTGAAGTCAGCCCAGGCAAATAGTTCTCAAGACCCTATCTCAAAAAAAACCAACACGGGGCTGGTAGAGTGGCTCAAGTGGTAGAGTGCCTGCCTAGTAAGCGTGAAGCCCTGAGTTCAAACCCCAGTACCTCAAAAAAAAAAAAGAAAATATGTTTAATATATGAGTTTATAATGATTCTTTTCAAACAGAAGTGGGGCGTGGTAGTTGCACACATGTAATCCAAGTACTCAGAAGGCTGAGACAGGAAGATTGAGAGTTTAAAGCCTAGGTTACGTAGGGAGACTGTCATAAATAAATAAATAAGAGAAACCCAGCCTCTCTTCTTTTTTTAATCCTTTATTTGGTAATAGAGTCAAGGTAACAATTCCAAGGAACTAAAAGAAATAGGAGAGTCCAGAAGGGCAGTATCTCCCGTACCATTAACAGTGCCCTGCCCATGACCTATTAAACAGATATGAAGAGACCCTTTCTTGTCTTGTGCATGCATGCCTGTAAGAGAAACAGAGATAGAGCACTTCACCAGGAGGAAGGAAGCTGCAGTGCTATTGCATGTCCTCACTGCTAGGGTTTTTTTTAATATATATAAGATATGGGATTTAATTCTCATATTATCTCTAGTTTTTTTAATTAGATAAGCAATGCATCTTTGTCAGTAAAAACTTAAATACAGAAGAAAATAGAATGTGTCCCATTCTCATTCTCCGTAACTATTTTTAGATGAGAAAATGAGGAGGTTTCAGTTTTTTTCTCTAGGATCAGAAGCTTGAACCAAGATACTAACTCCAAAAATCTTTTTGAGGTAACTGGAGTAAACCTACTTGCTTTCTCCTCTAGATAATCACGATGTCATTTCCCTGAAGTTGTTTGAACTAACAGTGGAAAGGACGCCAGAAGAGGAGAAGCTGCATCGAGATGTATTCTTGCCCTCAGTGGACAATATGAAGCTGCCTGAGAGTGAGTGCAGGGTCCTGGGAAGTGGCCCCAGGATCAGGGAGGAGTTTGCAATGACAGTGAAGTTGGGGGTGACTTTGTTCACAGCTTTCAGGGTGGTCTCCTATCTCTGTTCCTCTGAAGTGTGTGGAACACTTGCACCACCTTCCTCTTGGCCTGCTGTTATAGATGAGCAGCAGGTGGGCTGCTTCATTTTTAAATTGAGCCATCTGGAAAGGAGGTATCTGTAAGCTCTGACTCCCCAGAAGTGGGTGTCAGAAACTGGGGACAAGACAGACTGTTGATCCTTCCTTCCTCCATGTTTCTGATTTACTTCTCTCTTGTTTCCTCAGTGACAGCCCCACTGCCACCCTTGAGTGGCCTGGCACTCTTCCTCATTGTCTTTTTCTCTCTGGTGTTTTCTGTATTTGCCATCGTCATTGGTATCATACTCTACAACAAATGGCAGGAACAGAGTCGAAAGCGCTTCTACTGATCCCTGCTGCTGCCACCCTTTTGTGACTGTCTCCAGTGAAGTGTGGGAAGAGCAGATGCTGGCCTGAGCACATAGCCTGGCAAGTCTGCTCCAGATTCCAGCAGCTGGCCAGGAACTGTTCCATCATTGGATCTTTGAATACAGGGATTCTGCATTCCCATGGTTATCCACACAGATATCATAACTGGTCCAAGAAGCCACACACCCAGGGCAATGCTGCTGTGATGTGCCTTTCCCTGCAGTCCTTCCACTTGGGAATGAAGAGGCATGGAGAGAATATACATATTATGATGCCAAATTCACAGAACAGAATTGAGTAGCCTAGGCATGGACTGTATCAGCAGGCCTTTCTACTATATTTTTAAATCCACAAAAAGCTAGAACCTTCTGCTTTTTACCCAAGTCTCTATCTTCCTGAAGAGCTCTCCCTTGGAAATCTAGATGGAAGTTTTTCCCTGCCTTACCTTCTTTTCTGTCTGCATTTATTGTCCTCTTCATGTGCAATTTGAGACACATTTGTATGTCTCTGTCTTGGGGCCTGGGGCTGCAGAGCAAAGTTAGGTTTCTCTGACCCTCATTAGGTGGCCCTAGGGCTTTCTACTTAGCTCATTGCTTGAGCCTCTCTTGTCTAGTAGGGGTTTTGGGTCTGTTGATGTGTCTGCAGCCTTCCTAATCAGATCCGTCAGACCCTCCATCAAGTTTGGCTAAAAGTCAATGTGCAAGTCAAGAGAAACTAGGAAGACTAATGGATACCATGAGATTATGAAACTAACCAAGTCCAGATTTGACACAGAAAACATTTGTCTGTTGGTCTGACCACTTGAAGATGTGTCTGAATTCTCTGGAGCCTGCTTAGTTGCATGTTTTGTGTTTATCATGATTCTTGGAATCTTGCTTTGAATGTTGGAAGTACAAGGAAGCTTTCTTATTACCTGAACTTGAATACTGCGCCCCCCACCCAAGAAGAAATTTTACTCCCTTTTCTTGAGAAGAAATAGTTGCTCTTTCATGTTGCAAGTCTGGAAGTGAAATACCCTCATCCTCTGTGTCTGGAAGAGTTTGTGGTAATTGAGCAGCACAGCCTGAGTACTATCTTCTGTGTGTCAACCCTTATTTCACTGCCTTATCTGACAAGGGTCTCAGGCTGCTCACTGTCTGTCCTCTCATTAAATTGGTTATAGGCCAGTGTGTCCCCTGGAGATCCTGAAACTCTGAGTTTTTTTATGGGCCTCTGTAGTCTAGGAAATACTTAAAGTGACTGATGTAAGCCATCATGAACTTCTGACTAATTGAGTGTCCTTCTTAATAGTGTGGATTTAGGGGGATCCAGGTCTTTTCCTGAGCCTCAAGCACATCAACTCTTACTCTGCCTCTTGGGTTGGGAAAGCCTTCAGCTTAGCCCAGAAGGAGGGGGGATAGGGGGTTATCCTTACTGCAGATAGGGGTCCATCTTTTGGGGCCTTCTATTCTTCCCATGTACTTAGTTATACAGCACAAGGTTGTATTGCCCTCCTGAGGGTGGGATAAAGGTGGGGAAAAGGTGGAAAGGCCTCCTCCTAACACTTTTGCAACAATAGCAGAGTAGCTTAAGGATGCCAGAAAACACTCTGTAACCTAGAGCTTGGACTTAGGACCAGGAAAACTGAAAAAGTAGTTGTTTTTAGTTCAAAGGACAGCTGAATTTGGCCTTTGTGGTGGAAGACCTAGCTGGGTTCTTGAAATGGCCAAGGCAGTGGTATATAGCAGAAGGGATTTAGTCATAGGGAGGAATATGAGAGATGGAACTAGTGGGGTTTACATGATTTCAGGTCATGAACACTTCGAACTTTTTAGGAAGATGTGATGTGCAGTCCCTACCCAGCCTAGGGGACTAGGCTTCTGCCCTTAAGGAAACACGTGGCACAAGAAAACTACTCTACCTATGGCTGGGGGCATAGCTCAAGTGGAGGCCCTGGATTCAGCCCCTTGTACCAACAAAAGCAAAAAGCAAAAGCATTGTATTTCTTTGCCCTGGCTCTTGTTTTTTCTGTAAAACCAAATTTTTTCCCTGGTAAATGGGACCAAATATTTTTTCTGGGCATTGTAACCCCAAGGTGTATACTGGCAAAAGGTGGTGCCACTCTTGTGCACATGCAGTTGATGTTTGATTTTTTTGTGGCACTGGGGTTTGAATTCAGCCTCATGCTTGCTAGGCAGACACATTTACCTCTCAAGCCAGTCCACCAGTCTTGCATTTCAGTGGTCATGGTGTGCTGTTCACCCATTAGAGCCACTTCTCTCCTGCCACTCTTTCCTCCATTTCATCTAATGTCAAGGCCTCTTAGTGTGGAAGAGACTCTGAGGACTAGAGGGGGTACATAAGGTGACATTGTTCCCTGTCTTGTCTAAAGAACTGGCATTTTCAGGCTTTCTCATTCTGTTCAATCCCCACCCCCAGCCCACAGGGTACAAGATGGCGCTCTGTTATAAACTTGTTTATTTCTGTGGAAAATTATAGCTCTGCTCTTCTTAGTAGAAGTGGTTTCTGAACATAATAGCCAGAGTATGTGTAGCTCCTTGCATATGTCCTAGAAGATAAAATCAGGGAACCAAAGGAAGCCGAAAGGAAGGATTAGTGACAGGCGGGACAAAAGCCAGGCAAACGTGGACAAATTAATCTTGTAGAGCTGGAAGTTCTGGGAAGATATCACTCAAGTGATTCTTGGGTCCCAGGAGGTGTGTCTGCTGATGGTCACTTATGGGCTGCACATCTGGAGCCTGGGTGGTAAGGGTGGAAGAGCTATCATTGCTGGTGTTTAAGTTGATGAGGTTAACTATTTTAATGGGAGGATACATCCGAAGCTCAGGTTTGATCCAGCTCATGGCCAAGTAGCTCTAGAGGGAAGAGACAACAGTTAACTCAAAGTCACAACCCAAATACACTCTCAGTCATCCCAAGAGTAACTAGTTCCTTTGTCTCTGACCCACTGATTGTCACTTACTGGGGCTGAGTAGATAAAGTTGAACAGTACAAACATCAGGACCAATATGATGCAGAAACATATGATCTTGTAACGGTAGCGTTTGCAGCAAGCAAAGCAGAAGTTTTTAACAGGTGACTGCAACCACATGAAAGCACTGCCAGGGCGTCTGTCCTTGGCAAGAAGTACCAGAGAATGGAGGGCAGGCTTCAGGTCACATGATACAGAGAAAAGATCTTTTTTTTGGGGGGGGGAATGTGTTTTGCCCTCTACCCTCACCTCCCAAGTCTGTTCTGTCCTGATTGTAACTAAGCTGTGTGTAGAAAGTAACTACTCCTTCTCCACTTATCACCACCCCATAAAAACTGAGGAAAAAGATAGGACTTGGAGCCCTTGCTTTTCAGGGACTTACAGGGGAGGATGGAGGGTTGGGAATTGGTTGGGTTCCGACTGGCCTCTCCCAGCTGGCCTGATTAAAGCATCCTTCTCTGACAGGATCTCCAGAGTCATTTTCACTTTACCCTAGGGACACCACAGGTGGTGGACTGAGGTCACATAGCAGAGGCAAGTTAGCAAAGAACCACTTCCCAGTATTCAGAAAGTAAAAGAGATTTAGGTAAGGTTCCCAGAAGTCTGGTAGAGCCAGGTTTTCTCTAGTTCCTACCGACAAGCGCCACTTGTTATTATCATGGACCTGGCAAGGCCACCATCCAGTTACAGTCTTCTTCTTAAAGAGGGAGAAGTGCTTGTATTGGAAGTAGGGCCACTTGGCATCAGTGTCCATCATCCTGAGGGAACATTGCTTGGAGTTCCGGGCCGGAAAGGGCATGTCAGATAAATCCAGCTCCAGGACCCCTAGACCCAAAGAAATGCCATCAGCAAGAAGGAGCTCCCTGTCTGTGGTCACAAGCCCTGTGCCAGGACCTCACCTAGGAAGTCATCACTGGAGAAGAGGTCATTGTCCCAGATCTGAATGATGAGCCGGGCTGGAAACTTCACTGACATGGGGTCCAGGCTCCATATATAATCCTGGAGGACAGTAGAAGGGCATGCCTCTGGCCTGCCTCAACATTTCCCTTGGACACCTTAGCAGTACCCTACCCAGCAGTAATGGACTATCAAGGAAGAGGGTTTCCACCTGAGGACATGGTCATAATGTTTCTGTCAAAACTTGCAGGTCTCTGGAGGGAAGCGAGGAAGGACTTTTGGACCTTGAGGCTCTTTTTCCCTCATCCTGCCCTCCAAACCTGTACCTTTTGGCTGTGGACACACACTTGTTCTGCTGCCAGGTAGTCCATGGTAAAGATGAACCGCCAGTTGAAGTTGCCCTCCCCAGTCAGGGAGTGATAGTGGATATCTGTCTTCTGCATGTCCTTCTCTAGCCCAAATAACCACCTAGGGCCAGAGTCCATTTACCTGGCATTCATGAGTATGGTCCCTACTCCTGCTAGGCAGTAGAGAGGTGTCCCTCTCAGGATTAGGAGGCCCCAGAAGGATAACCAAACTGGGGAACTGAAGGGCTTTTATTGGAGTCCTTTTCCTCCCCCTCACCCTTTGATGTAGATGTCGCTTATCTTGTCTCTGCTGAAAGTCTCATGTACCAGGTCCACTTGGGCAGTTTTCCAGATAATGCAGCGTAGCTCATACCTGCAGCCATTATGCTGTGAGACTTTGCTGAGGAATAGCTCCCCAGCTGCAGCCTTGGTGAGTAAGGAGAATCCTAAAGGTTGCCCTCCACACTTGCTGAATTTGACTCTAGTAGAGGTTCCTCTATTCCCAGTAGAGAAGAATTCTTGCCACTCAGTATTTGAGGGCAGTGGTGCTCTGCACCCCAGGGGCTGAACTGAAATACAGTGATTGGGGGTTGGGTTGTTACTCACCGTTTAGGCTTTCTGGGGCTGATGTTGACTGGGGGGCCAGGAGGTCCCAGCTTCTTGGGGAAAATGTCCACCCACATTTGGATCTTTCCCTAGAGCCAGAATAGATTTCACTGGTTGGGGGTTGCTGGCCTCTGCTCTCAGCAGGATGCCTTGGGGGCCTGTCCCAGGTTCTAAGGCCTCATCACCACCCAGGGATAGGGCATAGAGCTTTCTGAGAGGCAATAGGTGACCACTTGCCCACTTCCTATGATTTTGCCTGGGAAAGTAGTACAGTGAGGTGGAAAATGATAGCTCCAAAGCCAATGGTGTGGTGCTGAGATTTCACTTATGAGAGATTCATGCTACTCAGCAGGTCACGCTAGATGGCCTATTGATGGGGATTCAAACTGGGAGTGAGCCTTCCTTTATTAAAATAGCTCTGAGCAGGCTGGCACAGTGGCTCAAGTGGTAGAGCACGTGCCTAGAAAGTATGAAGCCCTGAGTTCAAACCCCAGTACCAAACAAAAAAATAAAATAGCTCTGAGTAAGAGGAAATCAGTCAGGGGTCATTTTTTTCCCTTGATGCTAGTGATCAAACACAGTGTCTTGAGTATGCCTGTCAAGTGTTCTACCACTGAGCTACATCCCTAGCCTTCAGGTCATTTTATTTGATGTGATCACAACTTATGGATATGAAGCCAGCAACAAAGTACAGAGGCTTGAGAAAGAAGGGATGAAAATGGTAAGAAAAGGAGAAAGAAGTAAAAGGGCAGCATTGCCAATCTTGGAAAATAGATAAATATGTACTGTCTTTCAAATTATCTGACCTATTTTTATTCTTTTGAAGTTAACCCCTTTGAGAAAACAGGTGTTTAATGAGAATGGGTTGTTTTGTTTTGTTTTTTTAATGCTCAGCAGAGGAGTTTTATCTATAATGTGGCAACAGCATGAGAGATTTTGAAAATGAGATGAGCCATTTTGGTGTCTGAAGGGTGAGATAATTAGAGTGCCCTTGGGGATCCTCATTCCTCTGTTGGGGTTCCTAGCCATGGAGAAAACAGCCTTCAATTAACAGCCAGAACAGGGTTGTAATGTCTGTATCATCTGACCTGAGGTGCCACCTCACCACCCCTCTGGAAAGATTAAGACAGTGGAGGCATTGGCTGGTAGGGCTGCTAGGGCTTCCCACAGCTTATGCATGGCCTCCATGTCTTGTAGATTACCTGTCCAACTCTGAATTGCTGTATTGTGACATCACTGGAATTTCTTGCTTACTAACGTGCAAAAACATTGTCTTCTGTGTATTTATATACTGAATGGTTGTCTTACCCTTCCCTATCATCATGGGCTATGTTCTGAACCAGTGGGCACCCACCCCTATCTCCTGCTCCAGCCTTTTCCATAGGAGGCAGAAGCAGCCCCTCCAGTCTCAGACCTGATCAATGCCTGGTTGACTGTCACTATACAGCGTGCGGGTCTCCACGTGCTCAGGTACCAGCCCTTGGGTATGCAGGATGTACAGTGCAAGACGTTCCTTTTTGGGTCCCAAATCATGAACAGTAGGGGGTTCGGACTCTGGATTGGGGGGAGGGGATCATGAGGTCATTAATCTTCCCATCTAGGCACTCTTCCCAGTTCCACCTACATAGTGGCCATGGTTGCCTTCTATGGGAGGAAGGGGTGAAGAGGTGGTTGCCCTCTAGACTATGTATGTTCTCTCCTTGTTCTCCCCTTTTGGAGCCTCACTGGTTTCAGAGTCTATATCTGGCTTCAGGAAGTATGCTGGGCTCACCAAAGTTTTGCAGGTTGAATTTCTTCCCATTGTAAAAAACAGAGTCTTCCTCAGTGTTGAACACAGGTGGACACAGCCCTTTCCGTTTGGCATAGCGTTCCAGAAGGTAGCTTGGGAGCATCTGATCGCGCCATCTAAAGGGCCCTGACCTGTGGGGGTATGGGAAAGAAACAAGTAGGGAATCCTGGAGAATATGCTGCCTTGAGCAGCTTATGTTGGAAGCATAAGTGAAGACAGGGCAGGTCCAGTCCTGGTTTCTAGCCCAGGAGTTCCCAGCCTTTCCCAAGGAAGCTGTGGGCTTACACCTCATCTCCCCCCTCCTCCCTTGCTTGCTGGACAGGCCCACTCTCACTGGCAGTAGGATTTAGAGAGCCCACAACGGGCTCCAAAGCCAGACAGGAGTCGGTTTTCAAGGTCAATGACTGTGCTTCCAATCTCATCATCAGAAGATAATAAGTCAAAGTCATATAGCTGGATCTGTAGGTCTTTCTCCAGAGGGATGTTACAGGTGAGTTCAAACATCCTAGAAGTGAGGGTGTTGGAAACTGCAGAGGCTGTGAGCCAGATACTCTCCATGCCCCACTCCCTTCACCAGCATCACTGCGCAAAGGCCCCTACTCCACCCCTTCGTTTATGGTGAATATGGAGAGCAGAGTGTGGGATAGGCTGCTGTTTGCCAATAGCCATTCCCTGGATGTGGCTAAAAATAACTTGATGGCTTGAACAGTGAGCTCTCAGCTCCCTTTCCAGGCAGAGTGTGTGAGAGAGGGTAGAGTTGGACCATCCATTTACCTTCTGCCTGTTGAGCACCTACTGTGTGTAAGACACTGTGCTTGGAAAGAACTCTGGGGCTGGGAAGGAATCCCAGCTGATTCCCAGCATGGCACAGAGGGGGTGGAAAGGTGGAATTGGGTGTATGGGGGCAGCTTACATGCCAAAGATGGGATCCAGAGTGTTAGGCTGGTATGAGTCCCGGTTGCCAAGCTTTGTCTGTCCTACTTTCAGGATCACATAAGGGTCACACTGGGGGTCAGATATAAGCGGGGGAAAGGACAGGAAATGGGGAGTCAGTCCAGGTTGGTCAAGGAGGGTGAGTAGGGCAGAAATGCTCCATAGGGAGCCTGTGGGGAGTTGGCAGTTTTTGTGTCAGAGCCTGAAGAGATCTGGGAGTTTTAGGCAGGAGACAGGAGGCACCTGTGCTGGTCACCTCTGGGGGCTGCTCTTTACCAGGCCATTGTAGTCCTGAGGCTGTAGGTGGATGGCTCGTACCACATACACCCGCACCAAGCACTGCTGAGGGAAGTCCTCTTTCTCAGGCCAAACCAAGAACTGGCGCGGAGGCTTAGGAGCTTCTGGGTTCTCAGGAAAAGGGTAGATGCGGAAGAGGCCCTGGAGGGTGGGGAAAGTGTTGGTGGCCCAGCTTGGCAGTGCTGCCTCAATTTTATACAGCCCCCAACGAGATGCTTCCAGCCCAAGTTCAACAGGGAGAAGACTGGGTTGAGGGTGGCAGGGACAGAAAGCTACGAGCACAGTACAGGTAGGTGCAGCAGAGGTCTGCAGGGACCACCATGTTTAGGGGGGTGTTGGGAAGAGCACCCAAGGTCATTTAGTGAGTTCCCATTTTCTGCTCATTCCTTCAGGTTTGAACTTATCCTGAGGCTCTGTGGCCTTTGGAGACCAGTATAGGCCAGAGCTGGGAGTGAGAAGGCTCCTGTACTCCCCAAACTGCTTCATTCTTGCTATGAGCATACAGAGCCAGGACTTTCATTAGACTCTCCCAAAGACAGAAGGTACACAGGAGATGGCAACCAACATGGGGTAGATAGACACACACCTTGAACTCTCCTACTACAGGGCTATCTGCCTTGGGCTGTTCCTGGTAGAGTTTGAAGGTCTGGCAGAAGTCCTGCAGGCCTTGAAAGGCCGACACAGCCTCCAGCTCACAGTCATACACCTGCAAGACCCAGGCTGGTGAGAGGCTATTTGGGGTCAGGAGATGGAGGGACTACTAGCATCTGTGCCTTTTTCAAATCTACCCAGTCAGTGACCTCACTGCCTGCTTCAGATGGGGTAGCTGATGGAGGAGTCTCTGCTAGTCTTGGTGACAATGCAGAAACTCCCCCACTTGGTGGTTCCCAGAGGAATCAAGGATATACCTGTGGTCCCTCCCAGTGGGAGATTTTATTCCACCTCTCTTTCCCAAGACCCTTCAAACCTTTAGAGTGTAGTAGTCTTTGTACTTGTATTTCAGAGACTTTTGGTCACCACCTGTGACCCAGAATAGCCTACTCCACCAATCCACTTCGTGCTCATATTCGTCCTGGCAGGGAAGAGAATCAGGCTTGCCCTCAGGGGCAGGGGAGCCCCCCACCTCCCTGAACTGATCGGGGTTATTCCCTGTTTCCCTGGGCTGAGCCTACTTCACCTCGGCTTTGCTGGACTTGAACCAGAACTTTTCATAAAGGTAACCTAAGAACTGAAAAGTGAGAAGGTGAGAGAAGAGGGGACTCACTTCCCTGACTCCCCTGCTCCCTAACCCTAACCCTAACCCTAACCTTAACCCTAACCCTAACCCTTTCCATTCAGGCAGGATTGTGGGGCATGAAGGAGGGGGAGCATGTGTCTTAGTCTTCATTGCCCATGGCTATAGACCCTAACGCTTACCCCAACCTACAAAGTCAGAATCTGCTTTTTTTTTTTTTTTTTGCAGTGCCCTTGTTTTTTTGAGACAAGGTCTCACTATGCAGTTCAGGCTGGCCTCGAACTCGTGGTTCTCCTGCCTCAGCCTCCTGAGTACTGGGATTACAGGCATGCACACCCACGCCCGGCAGAATCTGCTTTTATGAAGATGTCCAGGCACTCTTGTGCATTCAAGTGTGACAGGCAGTCCTGAACCTTGAAAACACAGTAAAATCACCTGGTAGTACTGGAACAAAATTCTGATACCTAGGCCTTTCCCTCAGCAACTCTGGTGGGATTTCTCAGAGACCCAGGGTCTCAGGAGTTTAAAAGCTCTCAGGTGATTCTCATGTACAGTACAGGCTGAGGACCACTGCCTTAGCCTTCTCATGTGCAGTTAGGCCTCCTCACACTGGGGCACAGACACCAGGACTGTTTTTGTTCCCATCAATGGTGAAGGGGAAGGTGGCCTCAGGCCCTTACTTACATGCTGCTGTTGCTGCCGCTTCACAGACAGTGCTGTGTGGAGAGAGCACAGTCTCAGCCTAAAGGGGAGAGACTAAGGAGGTGGGACGCCAACCCCACGGGAACCAGGGCCCTGCCTCTCTCCCACTGGGGGCTTGGTGAGACTTAGGGGAGGGCCAGCAGAAAGGACCGTACTTGGAAGCAGAGGGGGTGTGTAGTCCGGAGCCCAGGGGTCACAGAAATAGGGCTGGAGGAAGTCGATGTGAGCCTGACCCACCACGGTCTGCTGGCCATATCTCTTGGTGTCCACCACCTTCACCACCAGGGGCAGCGCGTAGGCCTCCTCTGTAGGCATGTACTATATACCGAGGAGAAGCGGGGAGCTTAAGTCCCCTATCCCTCAAGAGAAGAGGACTGCCCAGCCTGCCCCAGGTCCTCTTACCACTGTGAGGAAGAGGATGGACTCTGGGAAGTTAGGGTTGGTCTGGAAGTCACTGATAGGTTCTGTCTTCAGGGACTTTTCCCCACATTCTACCATGAGCTGGGGATAGCACACCTTCATGTTCCGAAGGCCCCAAGCCAGGATCTGTCAGAGTAGGCAGGGATTGTGTAATGGAATCCTGGTGGTGGGGGGCTGCCCTGGATATAATGGTGCATCAGGGAACATGCATGGCTAGGGCATGAGACAGTGTGAGAAGTCAGAAGAAGGCTTCCCAGGTCTCCCTGTCCTATGAGAGTTCTAGCTAGTCTTCAAGACCTAGCTCCTGGCCAGGTCTAGTGGTTCCTTCCTATAATCCTAGCTCCTCAAGAGGCAGAAATAGGGAAGATTGCCATTCGAGGCCAGTCTGGTCATAAAGTTTGCAAGACCCCATCTCAATCAGTGGGTAAGAATGGTGGCATGTTCCTGTCATTACAAACAGGAGGATCATGGTCTAGGGGTCCAGGCTGGCCTGGGCATAAAGCAAAACCCTTTCTCAAAAAGGTGGGGTGGCTCAAGTGTCACCATGCCTGCCTAGCAAGTGGGAGACCCTGAGTTCAACCCCCAGTACCACCAAAAAAAGAGACCTGGCTGCTGTACTCCCTCCCTGTGAGGGGTGTCCTCCCACCACTGACTGCACCCTCCACTGACCCCTACTGTCCTTAGGCATTGCACTTCCTAACCTCTAACTATTCTCGGGCATTGAATTCTTGAGGCTGGCTGCTAGTAGAGACCAAACAGGCCAGAAGCAGGCAGTTCCCAGATTTCTCATGTGTCCCTTTGCCATCTAGCTCAATGCTGAGACCTATGTTCCAGAGAACTCCAAGGCTAATCAGTGACCTGCTACCCTGTTATTTCTCTTTCAACAGACACTGGGCACCTTGAGAAAAGTCCACATCCTTCTTCATAAGGGCCTCATTGAGCCCAGAGCAAGGACCAGCCAGGTTGTCTGATCTTAGGGAAGCCATTAGTCCCTGAAGGAGCCGGCCATGTTTTGCTATTTGCCAAATTTATGTCAGGACACATAGATTTCAACATGGGAGCCTCCCTTTAGAGTCTGGAAGCCTAAATTGTGGTTGTCACTTAATCCAGTCCCTGGTCACTGTGTGAGCAATATTTAATCTCAGAGCCTCAACTTCCTTCTCTGAAAAGTAGTGCCTGTTGCCCAGGGTATGCAGCTCAAACACCACAATGAATGCTACTGCCTACAGAAAAATTACTTACAATGCTGTATCTAAGCCTCTACTCCCTGTTTCTCTGTCTCCCTCCATCTAGCCCTACGAGTGTGTCTCCTTGGAGCCAGGTAGTTAGGAAGGCCCAGCAGAGAGTTCCAGGGTACTCCAGACTGCTCTAGGTGGTGCTTGCCCTCTGCTTGCCCCTCCGCACCTCAATGGCCATATTCTTCAGTGTGGGCTGGATGTTCCTGGGCAGTGTATAGCTCCCATTCTTCCAAGGAACACTTAACATGGGCAGGTGCTTCTCTTTCAGCTTCTGGAAGGCAGAAAAGGGATGTCAGGGGGCATGAGGCCCTGGTCCTGCTGCCCTCATCCCCAACTCAGGCAGGTCCCCTTGTGGGCTTAGCTGAGGAGGCCTCAGAGCCCCATGGGTTGGAGGTGGAGGGGAGTTAGGGGGAGGGTTGGGCAAGCTGGTACCACCAGACACAGTGTCCTACTTCCCAGACCTCAGGCCTTTTGAGGGGATGGGTGTGGAAACTTGTGACTGGGCCAGGGTGGGACACTTGAGCACTGCCCCTCCCATCCAGGTCCTGTCTCACAGTACCTCAGTCTCAAGGATCAGCTCACAGGAGGCCAAGATCTCTCCCTCTTCCTCCCCCAGCCCTTTTCGAAGGGGGCGCCACCTCAGGGGGGGCGGAACCCAGTCTTGGAGGTCCAGCCAGACGACTGGGGGCCACATGCTCCGTCCCCACAAGGTCTCATTTCCCTAGAGGAGAGAAGTTCATAGAACATGAAAGCCAGGCTGGCAGGGTCCTGCTTCTGGCCTGGGCTTCTGATGAGGGCAGGGGAGCCACTAACATCTCCATTTACATGGCTTCTGCACACCCAGCCTCACAGGAGCAAGCCTGAAGTAGGCCTATTCCTTCTGCCCAGCCCAGCCTGCCGTACCCGGGAGTTGCGCTGCCACAGTTCCAGCACCACGAGTGGGGGGCTCTCTTTGGTGTCCTTGGGGTTCTCATACAGCAGGAGGTGCTGGAAGATGACAGTCTGGGCCCATGTAGGGGCTGCAGAGCTCTGCAGGATCTGGGTGCATTGGCTGTAGTTCAAGAAGATCACTCGAATGAAAGACCCTAGAGCAGGGAAGGGGGACAGGGAGTCCTGTCTCCAAGCTGCCAGGTGAGGCTCTCCTCTTCTCTGCAGCAGCAGTCATTGGACCAGGTGCCCAGGAGGCCCACGCCCGGCAGCCACTGCCACTGCCACACCAGCTGCCCAGCAACCCAGAGGCCAAGGGAGTCTCTGGTTCCGTCGAAGCATACTCCATATCCACCAAGGTTCGAGGTCTGGCTTTCACAGATGCAGAGTGGGGGCTTCTCTGGAGGGCTTTGGGGACAAAGTTCCACATCTCTGGTCCTCCACAGCAGCAGTGAGTGAGTGGCCGTTCAATGTGGGTGGTAATGTCCAGTGGACACAGCTTCTAACAGACATTCCTGGAGCCTTGCCACCCACCTCCATGGCTCCTATGAACAGTGGCAGCATCAGGACAGGGAGGGAACACTCAGCTCACCTGAACCCTTCAGTGGGTGTTCCTCAGAGGACCAAAGACAGGCTCCTCCCACACAGGGCCTCCTCCCTACCTCTCCTGTCCAGCCACAAGTGGCATGTGGTTCCCAAGCATGCCACCCTCTCTTGCCTTCATGTCTTAGTCCTCTGCCAGGCAAACTCCTCCCTCTTCAAGGCCCAGCTAAGTGGTCACCATTGGGTGAAGGCTCCTCAAGTCCCGCTTTTCTCATTCCACAGTGTTGGGGTAACACTTCAAGAGCTGCCCTGCCTTTTGGTCTTTGCTTTGGGGGTCTTTTCCCAAAATTATAGCCATGAGCTGCTTGGAAGAGGAATCTGTCTTTGTTACACCATATTCGTTATACAACTGGTGCCATGTTGCCAGGCTTTGTGGGGTTGGGGGACACAAGAGCTGAATGACAGGCACATTCCTACCTTGGAATGTCAGGATCTGGTTGGACATCAGGTTCCGGGCCTGGTAGATGTAGCAGAAGAGCTGGTAATAGTGGGGCTCTGGGTAAAGAGAAGACACCTGTCACCTATCCCCAAGGCCTCCATAGGTTGCCTTCTTGATTTCCCCTGCCCTCAGATACTGGCCTCTGTGGCCACTCAAGAGGACTCCCAGTTCAGTGCTCACTGTTGAGGATGTAGTAGATAAAAGGCATGGTGGGAAGCTGGGTATCCTCTTGGGCAAACTTCCAGAACCCTGTCTTCTTTTCCCCTTCCTTCTTAGCATGATGGTTCTGCTCCATGGCCTGTGCCCAGGACGGTCTCCCCTGAGACCTTCTCCCCAGTCTCCTTTCACCAGGCTCCCACCTCCCTCCTCCCCTTATAGATGCCACCTCCCAAGCCTGAAGAGCAGCTGCCCACTCAGGTGGAACCTTGCTCCTTGGGGAGGTAGGGTTGCAGGCAGCCATCACCCAGCCCACAGAGGCTTTACCAAGGATCCCTCCAGGAGAAATATGGGTGCAATGCCCTTGTCCTCGTTGGGTGCCAGCTTGCGATGCCAGCAGCGGCGGCGGAACCGGCTTCGCGGCTGAGGGTTCAGGTGGAACTTGGAGCCGAAGGTCCCATATTCCCAGCCCTCTTCTCCCTCCTTGGCCAGACCCTGCTGTAGGAAGGAAAGCAGAGTCATGCTGCTGCCACCCCCCCCACACAAGTGGCACCGTCTGTGGTCCCAGCCAGGGCCCCTGCCCAGGGCGCCTCACCATCTGCAGGAAGGAGACAGTCTTCTGCTCTTGGCCCAGCTCTTCATGGTTCCGAAAGCGCACACGCACCCAGCACCGGCGGCGGCAGTTGTGGTAAGTCTTCTCCACTGAGCTCCAGACCTGGGGTAGGCCTGAGGGCGGGATCCCCACTCCATACTCCCAGCCTGCAGGGGCAGCACCATGGCCTCTGGGTGCTTGCAGGCTGGGTGGCTTCAAGAGACCTGAGAGAAGGGCTCTAAGATGGGCTGACTACAGGGGTGGTGCTTTTCCTCTTGTCCAGGGATGGGTGGTCACACTGTGTCACCTGGGTGACCTGGGGCCAGCTGCTTGTCTTACAAATGAAGAAGCCAACTCAAACTAGGTCACAGAGCCATAGCAGCAAAACTTGTGTCAGGAACCCGGGCCCTGAGACTTCCAGCCCATTGCTCCTTTTCTGGAACTACCTGGGTGAATCCAGGCTCCACGGGCCAAATCCATGTTCACAGGCATCCCCCAAGTCTTGCCTCAGGAGGCACCTTTACTATGTCAACACTATAGTCCAGTAGACCCCATTCCCTAGAAGCTGGGAGACCCCAGGAATCCAGACCCATCACACCTGAAAACTTGGCCACTCAGAAGCTGCCAGAAGAACCAAACACCCCAGACTGCTCAGAACAGCCCCAGGCAGTCTTGGTGATTTAGGGTCCCCAGGCCCTCCTACCCTCAGCCCTGACCCAAGAACTGACCCTCATTGTCCACTGCATGGTTATGCTGCACAACCCAGCTCTTCTTAAAGTGCCAGCCTTGGGGGCACTTCACATCCTCCAAGGCCTCCACAGGCTGTCCATTCTGTGGGGATATGGAGGGCAAAGGTGGACACATGAGCTGGACAGAGCTTGCTTTGCTTTACTCACCTTTTTTTTGGTCTGACTGGGGTTTTTGAACTCAGGGCTTCACTCTTGCAAAGCAGGCACTCTGCCACTTGAGCCACTCCACCAGCCCTTTTTTATTTGTGTGGGGGGGGGGCGGGGAATGGTATTTTTGAGATACAATCTCGCTTTTTGCTCAGGCTGGCCTTGAACCACAATCCTCCTGACCTCTGCTTCCTGAGTAGCCATTGGCTCACTTTTTGAACACACTTTTGTCTGTGAACCGCCTGCCAGGTTGGCCTCCCACACCCTGGCTCCTGGTCCAGACAGTGCTTGTTTAAGTGTGCTGTGACCCGACTAGTCACTTGATATGCTTTAATAACTTGTCTTTTTGGTCTGTAAACTGATCTCTTGTTGAAAAGGGGAGTCTGGCATGCATTCAAGATAGGTTAGGTCTGCAGTGTCCAATACAGTGGCCAGCAGTCACCTGGGACTACCTCAACTAATTAAAATGAAATAAAACTCAAAGTCTAGTTCCTCAATCTCATTACCACCACATTTCAAGTGCTTAGGAGCCCCAAGGATGGAGCGGATTTAGAATACTTATATCCTCAGAAGACTACTGAACAGAGCAGGGTTAACTAGCCCCAAATAGATTAAGCACCATCTTTAAAAGAGGTATAGAAAGGAATTAAGGAATTGGTGCCTTCCTTTGTTGTTTCATTTCTTTTTTTTTTTTTCTGCCATGGGAGTCTCACTATGTTGCCCTGGCTGGCCTCAAATTCTTGGGCTCAAGTGATCTTCCCATTTCATCGTCTCAATTAGCTGGGACTACAAGTGCATATCATTGTGTCTGGCAGTTTCTGACATCTTACCTAAGGTATTTCTAGCCTGCCATCTTGGAGTACAACTCCCTTATCAGTGCTAAGAGAGGGTACCTGAAGACTGACATGCTCAAACAGGGTCCTACAGACCATAGGAATCAAGGCTCAGACGTAGCTCTTTCCCCTGAACTACCGCAGCTCCCAAGACTTCCCACCCGGTTGCCTTGCTTCCCCCATCCCAAGGTGTGTTGGCCCAACTCACCACATCTGTGTTTGGGATGGCTGCAGGCACCCAGGCACCTGTGGCGCTACGGCTCTGGTTTTCATACACTTCCTCCAGCACCTGGCTCTTGTTGATATCTGTGTCTAGGAGGAGTCTGAGGGCAGTAAGACCCTAAGTTTCCACATCTCTTTGAACCACTGGTTCCTCTGCTGGTGAAGTGCTCCCTGTGACATCCCCACCTGCTCTTGGCAAGGCAGGTATAGTGGGGTCTGGCATCCAGGCAGGGCTGTCTGCCTTGTGTACCCCATCCACAGGGACCAGCTCAGTGGATTTGTGCCCATATCTTTGGGTTACCACTAACTAGCCCCAGGTGGCAAGAAGTCCACCTAGGTGGGCTTTGCAGGGGCAAATGGGCTCAAGGTCTGCACCCCAGCCTTACCTCCTCTGAGGCTCCACTATCCAGTTGTCCTGCCAATGCCATCCCAGGGGCGCATTGAAATTCGTCTTGGAGAGGGCCTTGCGCCCCATAACATCTGAGAAGTTGGGGCAGTGATACAATCCCTGCTGCCCCCACTGGTCTTTATACTTGGCCTGATTCTCATACTGAAGAGGAGAAAAACCCAGTCAGTGCCTGCACCTCCTCCAGCACACAGCACTGAGGATGTTGCTCCCCCCACCCTCACCCCCTTGAAATGTGGTGGCCAGGTAAGAAAGGGCCCCAGTGTCCCCATTGTACATGTCAGGAAACCAAGGCAAAGGGGTCAACCCTGCCCCAGGTTGCTCAGCTAGCAGAGGGGGGTGGAAGCCTGTGTTAAAGCCAGTGCCTTCAAGTGACCTGCCCACTGCCCAGTCCCTTGGAAGCCAGTCCTGCTGTGCAATGGTCCCCCTGTGATGCTCAAGGCCTTTTCTTCCACAATCTCCCTAAATCCCTTCTCCATCTCTGGATCTCTAAGCCCTACACAGGGCTTATTAGACATGGGGCCATTCCTTAGTGTCCCGGAGGAATTGGTTCCAGGACTCTTTTTTTGTTTATTATTTTTTAAAGTTTTTTTTTTTCAAAAAAATTTTTATTATTTTTGTATTGGGGGTATATTGAGACATTTTCAAAAGTTCCTGTCCATCATTCTCCTTTATGTCCCCTCCCTCCATTCCTGGAATAGTTTCAACAGGTCTCATTTCTCCACTTACATATGTGTGTACATAGTATTTGCACAATATTCACCCTCCTACTCCCACTCCTCACATCCTCCCCCACCACTGGTACTAACCAACTGGACAGGACCTGTTCTACCCTCCTGTTCTCCATTTTTGTCAAAAAAATGACATTTTTGTTTGTTTAAGACAGCTATACAGAAAGTTTCCTTGTGACATTTACACACACACACACACACACACACATATGTAGTAGAAGGAAGTTAAGAAAGTGAATATGGTTGATGTACCCTCTATACAAGAATGAATATAGAATTTGTAATCTGTTGAAACCACCATAAGAAGGGGACTAAGGTAGAATGAAGAAAAATAGAGGGAATGAACCAATTCAGGACTCTTTAGATACCCAAATCCATGGTGCTCCTTTATATTAAATGGTCCAGTATTTACATATAATGTTTGTACAACCACTTATATACATTGTAAGTCATCTCTAGATGACATAATATCTAATACAGTGTAAATGCTATATAAATATTTGTTGTAGTGTCTTATTAAGGTAATAATGACAAGGAAAAAAGTGTGTGTGTGTATTCAGGACAGACACAACTATCATAGGCCTGAGTACATTTTCAATCCATGGCTGGTTGAGTCTACCAATGGAAAATCGGTAGATGTAGAGGGCAGACTACGTTATGATGTATTTTTCTACACATGCAACTTAAAACCATAAGAATGTTTTAATTAGGAAGTTTTAAAGCCCAACACTCAAACCTTACTCTCTTCTGCTGTCAGAGCTGGTCCTGGGCCATGCCCTCTCCCAAGGAGCAAAAGTCATGGCCTGTCCTTTGATTCCAGTGCAATCTCTGGCCACTGCACACCCATACCCTAAGTTGATGGTTCTGTGAGCAGACGCCTCATATCCTGCTCCTCTCACTGTTCCAGGTCTCCTCCTCCCCACTCCCAGAACCACTAGTGTGGCCTGAAGGCTCAGCTGGGGTCTGTGGGGATCCCAGGTAGTGACAAGAGAGACCCCAGACAATTCAGAGACTTGTTTACCTCACATGCCCTGAGCAAATGAGGAGAAAGCTCCCTTGGGGCAGTGTGACCAGGGTCTGGAGGGCCACTCAGTCCCTCCTTGTCACCACATGTCTATGGCTTGTCAACAGGGAGACCAAGCTGGCCACATCAAAGATTGCTTTCATCTCTGCCTCCTCTCAGACCCCTCTCATAATTCTCAGATTCCATCAGCCTTTTCCTCCATCTTTGGTGCTGGGCTACTGTACCCTCGCTTTCCCTCCCTGTACTTCACACTCCACTGTGAGGCCAGCCTCTTCCTTGACTTGGCCCGGACCTGACTAACCTTTCACTCTGTGGCCCCCACAAGCCCTGAACTGCCACTCACCATCTCTGCATACACCACCATGTTGCCTTGATGGAGCAGCTGCATATTCTTGCTGTTTTTGACATTGCCAAGCCACATGCAGACCCGGAGGTGGGCTGGGAGTGTGTCCTTCTGTCCTTCACCCTCTGGGTACTGAGCCAGAGGAGGGTGCCAGTCCCACAGGGATAGGATGTGAGTGAGTGAGGGATCATACATACCCAGATTGGGTCACACCGCCCCTTCCCCCTGAACCCGGGAGCAGGAGCCCTTGCACTGAGTTGAGTGCTAGAGCTAAAAATGGGGTGAGGGAGCTGGGGGTGTAGCTCAGTGGTGGATACCTAACCCCACAAAAGTAAAGTGAAGGACAGAGTTCTGCCTTTCAGAGTGGGAAATGATATACAAATGGTTATACCTTGTGAACTAGCACAAAGCAGGGGAGGGTTGGGGAGAGAAGGGTGATTCTGCCTAGGGAGTCAGGGAAGGCTCCACAGAGGAGCTGTGATAATGACATTGTGATACTAGCCATCATTTATTGCCTGCTTGCTATGGGCCAGCTAAGGGTCTTGATCCTCACACCCCATCATGAGGTTGGCTTGGTGATCATTAGGCCCAATTACTGAGGAGCAGACTGAGGCCTGGACACAATCAGGAGTGGACCCGGATCACACAGCCGATGAATGGCAGAGTCAGATTCAAGTCTTACAGGATGAGGACCCCATGGGCAGGGGAGGGTGGGGCTGTGTATGATGGTGAAAAGGCAAGGGCAGGCACATTTGGAGTCTGGGAGGCCCAGAGTAGCCTACATGTAGAGAGGGTTGACACAGTGACACATGGCTGGGGCAGGCTAGGGAGGCTGTACTTTCTCCAGGAGGCAACGGGGAGCCAAGGTGGGCCTCCAAGGACCCACTCTCCTCTGGAAGGAAGAAGGCTGTGGTCAGGACTGGGTGGTGGCCAGGGTTTCAGTCAGTCTTATTTATGCTTTGCCTCTGATATGAGGGGCTGCTGTCCAAACCTTATAGGCACTGACTATTTTGGAGATCACCCAATCATAGTTCAGAAGACAGATGACAAGGGACGAGACCAAGTAGTAACCATGAGGGTGATAGAGGAAACAGATTTGAGGAACATTTTTGAGGGACATGGACTTGGTACCAGCCCACATGTTGACAACCACAAGGCTTTGCCCTCCTCTGAGGACTGTTTAATCCTGTTCTAAGTGGACCACATCTTCAGGGAGGCCCATTGGGCTGTCCTGTGACCCCAGGGGTTCTCCCTGGGGTGTTAGGGGCCCTTTCTCCCCTGAGGACCCCCTGCTTTCCCACCTGTAGGAAGAGAGTCTGAATCTTCCCACAGAACCTGCCAGAGTGCAGAGACCCTGCTGGAGAGAACAGGATGGTGTGGGCGGGCACACAAGCATAGGCCACTCGCTGCTCCTTGGCCATCAGCCAGATCATCACATCCGGGAGGCTCATCTGGGGCTGCCAAAGTAGGATAATGTCAGGACCTATATAGCCAGCTCCCAACTTTGCTCCCCGGCCAGTATGTCCAGTGCCCACCTCAGGTAGCACAGCATTGAGGCGGTAGAGCCAGCCCTCCACTGCGGCCACCATGTTTCTGGGTTCAGCTTCCTTTGCCTTTTGTTGCAGTTCCTGCAGCAGAAGGCTGCGGAGCTGCCACCTCTTCTTGTCTAGGTTGGTGGCTTTGGGCTGATCAGTCATGCTGGGCAGAGGGCGCCTGTGGCCAGGACAAGGTAGCAGGGGGCTGAACCACTTTACTGCCTCCCATGTCTCTACCTCTGGATCTGTCACAGGCCAATGTGTCCTTCCTAGCCTTGAGATCCTGCCATTCACAGCTGGCTTCCCTAGGAAGTTGGCTTACTGTGGGCTCTAATTCAGCCTCTCCCACCCTCCCAGCCCTGCAAGATAACAGGTGTGTGCCCAAGGACCTCCTGTGGAGTGAGGTATGTACCAGGGACAGGCCAACCAAATCCTGAGTGAGGGCTGGGAGAGGCTTTCCCATTAGTCCTGCAGAATAGATTGTCCTGAGAAGGGCACCCTGGGTGGGAGGAGTGTGGAGAAAGGTGTGGTGCTGGAATGGTGTGGGCTGGTCTGGGTGCAGGGGAGATGTTAGTTTGGTAGGAGCCTCAGGTGTGGACGTGGACAGCAGAGACTGTGCTGGACAGGAGGTTGGGGCTGATTTCTAGAAGAGCCTGTACAAGAAGGAAGAATCAGGTCTGTTTGGGTTCAAGCTGGGGAGGTCTTGACTGGAGGTCATACTTCCTGTGGTAGTGTGTGTGTATGGGGGTGTTCCATAGGGTGTTGCTCAGAGTCTCTAGCTCCCTTTTTGAACCTGATCTAGCTCAGCCCTAGGCTCAGGCCCATCAGGATGTCCCCCAACCCTACTTGCAGTCCTCCACCAGCTCCTTCAGCAGCTTATCCCACTGGTAGAGAAGAGCTGGGTCTTTCGGATTCCGAATGGATTTCAAGGTGGCCAGATTGGCTTTCTGCCCAAGGAAGAGAAAGGGAGAGACCTGGCTTCAGCATGGAGCACACCTGGGACAGGCTGTGGGGTTGATGGACCCAAGAGAGTTTCAGCCAAGACCTGGGGACCTGGGTGTTCCACTGATAACTGTGATGTCAGTTCAAGGGTGTCACATGTCCTATATCAAGGCTAGGACCTTCCTCCACATACACTTCCTGCTACCCAACAGAAGAAATGGGTGGCAGGGAAGACCCAGGATGGGATGGGACGGGAAGCAGTGCAGTGTCCCAACCCTCTGAGCTCCCATGTGTAGGTATGTGCAAGTCATGTCTCCTGAGACCTATGCTCCTTGACAAGTACCTAGGACCCTTTGTGATGTGACCTTTCCCGGCTCTCTGGCTTCCCTGTCACCACCACACCTCCTCTCCCTTGGCAACAATGAATTCTTCAAAACCTGCTGAAATGCCATCTCCTTTGTAAATACCTCCCGACTTCTCCCTCTCTTTATTCCTTCCCCTCCCCCTTCCCCATCTCTCCAGTCCTAAATCTCTGGGCACCTGTATCTCCATCACAGCTCTAGTTGCTTGGCACAGTAGTTGCATGCATATCCACCTTCCCCAGGCAGTGAGGACAAGGTGTGTGTTTATTCATCTTTGTGTCTTTGGTGCCCAGCACTGCATCTGGACATGCATCTCAATGGTGAAGAATGCATCCATTGCACCCTCCCTGCCCCGCCCCTACACACTCACCAGGCGGTCCCGAGTGTAGTGGAGGAGGTTGAGGCAGTTCATTCGGAAGCCGACATCCTCCCAGTTGGAGGTCACAGCCACTACGGGCTTGGTGTTATACCAGGGCACATAATGGTAGATATTCCCTGAGACACAGAGGAACAGGGTGAAAGGGGATGTCTGTGTCCACTGTGTCCACCTGGAGGGCTCCCCTGGACTAATTCCTCAAGGATGTGGTCTACTAGCAATCCTAACTGGACCCCTCCAGTGGGGAGGCTGGGTTCTGGTCCAAAGAGCTCATCACTTTGATGAACCTGGCCAGCCCCTTTTGAGCATTCATTGCGTTCTGTGTGTCACATGGGCCTCTCAGAGCCCCTGGTGTACAGGTGGGATAATCCAGGCTAGGCATGGGAAGCAGTTGCCTGAGTGGCACAGCCAGTAGATCATCTAGCTTCAGGGGCTCATGTGCATCAGGCAAGATGCCAAGGCAAGAGGCAGGTATGTAAGGTGTCCTTTCTGGGTGATCTGATAGGGATAAAAACCATGGTGTGTATGGCCCACTGGGCTCCCAGGCAATGTTACTTATTAAAGTGAGGGGGGGCAGAGCTAGATGAAACAAAGGGTCTTTTTTCTGAAATGCATGGATGTGTTGGCTTTAAAGGAAGAAATCCACAGAAATAAATACATAACAGAAAGCCTGTGAGGCAAAGGAAGACAAAGCTGACTTTTGTCCTCTGAACTTTCAACAACTCTTGGAGAATTTGTGTGGTTTTTTGTTTGTTTGTTTGTTTTTTGGTTACTGCAGGGGCACAGGGAGCAGGGAGGTGGGCAGGGGGCCACCGAAGGTGGAAAATCTAGGAGGATGCCCCATGTGCTATGAGCTGAATTGTGTCCCCCTCAAAAGATATGTTGAGGTCCCAGTACCTCAGAATGTGATCTTATGTGGAAATAGGGTCATTGAAGATGTAATTTGTTAAGATGAGGTCATACTGGAGTAGGGTGGGCCCTTAATCCAACATGACTGGTGTTCTTTTAAGAAAGATGACAGCCACATGAAGACACAGAGGTATAGGAAGGACATCATGTGAAGGTGAGGCAGAGAATGGAATAATGCATCTACTAGCTAAGAAACACAAGGATTGCTGGCTACACCAGAAGCTGTGGAGAAGTGTGGACTAGATTCTCACTCAGATCCCTGAGAAGGAACCAACACTGTCACCCTCATTTCCAACCTCCATCTTCCAGACCTTCCAGATACTACGTTGCTATTGTTTTAAGCCACCCAGTTTGTGGTACTTTGTAATGACAGCCTTAGTATGCAAAGCTAGTGTCCAAATCCTCCATCCTTGGGGCCAGGGTGAAGGAGAGAACCCATCACACAGACAGGGACAGTGAGCAGCCTGCCTGTCTCCACTGTGGCTCTGGATGAAGGGGATGAAAATCTTCCTCAAAATTTATAATACAGCTTGGACTTGAGATTATGCTACCCTTTAAAATTGGAAAACCATTAAGTAAAAATGTAATTTAAAGTGGTCTTTGGTTGTCAGGGCCCAGCTAAATGGAGGAAGCAAAAAGCAAATTCTCCCTGGAGAATGAAACTTCAGCCAGATCCCAAATTCTGAGAAAATGAGCAGATTAGAACCAATACACATACTCCTTAAGCCAGCAGTTCCTCTCCTAGGAAGGCACATGCAGCATTATCAAGAGACAGGGAGGAAAATGTTCATCACAGCACTAATTATCATAGCCCAGAGCTGGAAAGAGCCGAAATAGCTCTCAATAGTAGAAAGAATAAATTATCCTCAGGGAATTGGTTTCAGGACACTCTTCAAATACTCAAACTTAAGCATGCTTATGTGAAATGGCGCAAGCTGGGCATGTTAGTGCACAGCTATAATCCCAGCACTCAGGAGGCTGAGGCAGGAGGATAGCAAGTTAGAGGCTAGCCTGGGCTACATAGTTGGACCCTGTCTCAAAAAACCCCCAAAAAACAAAAAAGGTGTAGCACTTGGTATGCTGTACTATTTAAGGATAATGACAAAAAAAAAATAGCTGCAAGTGTTAAGTATAGATACAATTTAAAAATTCTTTTTGGCAGTACTGGGGTTTGAACTCAGTGCCTCATGCTTGCTAGGCAGGTGCTCTACCACTTGATCCATTCCCCAACCCTTTTTTTGCTTTAGTTATTTTTCAAGTAGGGGCTTTCATTTTTCCTAAGGCTGGACATAGATCCTCTCATCAGCCTCCCACATAGCTGGGATGACAGGCGCATACCATCACATCTGCCTTGTTTTGTTGAAATTGGGTCTCACTACTTTTTGCCAGGGATATCCTTAAACCACAACCCTCCCCATCACGGCCTCCTGATTAGCTGGGGTTACAGGCATGATTTTTTGAATTTCGATCCCTGGTGAGTTGAATCTGTGGGTGCCCACAGATTCATATAGAGGGCCAACTGTATTCCCACAACGGATTACTACACAGTGATGCGAGTGAAGGAACTATGATTGTACCCAACGCTATCAGATTTGTGAACACATCTCACAAATAACTGATAAACAAAAAAGCCAAGTACAAAATAATAGATACGATATGATTTCTTTTAAAGAAAGCTTAAACAACAAGTAAAATGGAGGTTAGGACAGCTGTTGCCCTTGGTGGGGGCAGGGGAGAGGAACAAAGGTCCCTGGGGTGCTGGCATTCCACTCTATAACCTGAGTGCTATTATGTGGCTGTGTTTTCTTCACAACTATTCATGCAACGCAACACTTTGGTTTATGTAATTTTCCATAGGCATGTTATCCTTGAATCAAATGTTTACTTAAGAAATTAATAGTGACGGCAGAAAGAACAAAATCAATTTGTACAATACAATGTGCACAATGATGGGAAATGCCATGGAGAAGAATAACGTGGGGGAGGGGGAAGGGAGCTGCCAAGGCATTTAAAATAGAATGGTTAATGAAGGCCTCTCAGAGAAGATCTAGAAGTATCCAGATGTGGCCCAGAGAAACCACAAGATGAAAATATGGAGGACAGAATGAAGAGGGCCACAAAGTACAGGGTGAGTTCCAGAGGAAATGTAGTTTTCAAAAAGAAAATAGCTTAGAATTTTCCAGAATTGTTGGAAGACACCAGTTTCAGACTTTGGCCGATTGAATCGTCAGAATGATAAATAAGCAGAGGTCCATGATTGGGAATCTCAGGAGGGATTGGATAGAGATGGCAGTTTTCCTCTTCTATTCTTGGATCACTTACAAAAGCAACAGGGAGAAGGAAAATAACTCCATTTCCAGCAAACAAGGAGCCAGATACAATCTGCACACTCAAAATACACATAGGAACTGCCAAAAGCAACCATGGCTTCCACAGAAGCAATGAGGGGTGAAGGCAGCAGAAGGCACCTGCGGGGAAGTGGCCAGCAAGACTGACAGCAGGAAGTATGGCTTGATGGGAGCAGATCACAGAAAGTGCCAGCAAAAATACACTCCCTGAGGGATCACACGTCCCAGAGGAGGAAATGTGAGCCAGCCAAGGGAACTCAGAAAACAAGTAGGAGGAAAAACAAAAGCATCAGAAAAGGAAGACAGCATAAGAAACAGTTCGAGGGAGATGAGCCCAAGAGAAACAATTCAGTGAGAGGCATAGAAATGAGGGCAGAAAAAAGGAAAGTGACCAAAATGAAAGTTGGAAAGAAAAAGTCAAAGAAGGATCATTTTCTAGCTGAAAATGATAGAGAAGAAATCAAAGAGAATTATTAAACCCATAAATAGAGCTCTTGAAGGAGGAAAATAAACAATGGAACAGGGTAAGTATTATGACAAATAATTTAAGAAAATTCACAGGGGAAATGATACTGTTTTTTAAACAAAGGATGCTTGAACAATTACACATCCAAATTGAAATTAATTCAGAAGGAAACACAAAGTTAAATATAAGAATTAAACCTGTAAGACTTTTAGAAGGAAAAAGAAGAAAATCTTCATGACCTCAGATTAGGCAGAGTTCTTAGATATGACACCATAAAAGTTAAATTGGATTTGATCCCAGTTAAAAATGCTTCCATTTCAAAGACACATTAAGATAATGAGAAGAAAAGCCACAGGCTACTTGTTGATTGTGTATTTGATAAAGGACTTGTATCCAGAACACATAAGGAATCCTTATAACTCCAGAAGCCAAACAAACCAATTAAAAAGTGGGCATTAGATTTGAATAGATGTGTCATGAAAGGAAGAGATTATGAATGCTGAACGAACACATGAAAAGATGCTTAGCAGTACTGGAGAGGAGGGAAATACAGTTACTTCTTTTGTTGTAGAAGCTCTGGGGTTTGAATTCAGGGACTACACACTTGCTGGGCAGGCACTCTATTACTTAAGCCATTCCACCAGTCCAAAATCAGGGAAATACAGGTAAAACCACAAGGAGATAACCTTATGACATGACCACCATATTAAATACAATAAAAAGACAGTAACATAGGTTGGGAGCATGACTCAAGTGATAGAGAACTTACCTAGCAACCATGAGGCCCTGAGTTCAAACTCCAGTACCACAAAAAAATTAAATTTTTAAAAAAGACAGTAACAACACACATTGGTGAGGATGCCGAGAACACAAAATGGTGCATCCACTTTAGAAAAGTTTGACTTGAAAACTGACTCCATTTCTAAGTATTTACCTAAGAGATACGAAAGCACATGTCCATAAAAAAACTTAAAAGCAAATGTCCACTGTGGCTATATTCATAGTAGCCAAGAGGTAGAAACAGTGTCCATCAGATGATGAATGGGATACACATAGGATGGGACACTATTTGGCGACAAAGAAAGAACCAAGTTTTAATACTTGTTACACAGTAGACAAAAACCTCAAAAACATTATTTCACCTGGTCATAGTGATGGGCCTGTAATCCTAGCACTCAGGAGGCTGAGGTAGGAGACTAGGAGTTACAGGCCAGCCCAGCCAACATAGACCAGTTTAAAAAAAAACAAGTAGTAGCCAGGGGTAGTGGTTCACATCTATAATCCTAGCTACTTGGAAGATAGAGATCAAGAGGATCTTCATTCAAGGCCAGCCAGGGCAAACAGCAAGACCCCATTTTAACCAATAAGAAGCTGGACATGGTAGCACATACCTGTCACCCCAGCTACACAGAAAGTGTAAATAGGAGGAGCACAGTCTAGGCTGGTCCTGGCATAAAAGAATGACACTATTTGAAAAATAGCTAAGTGCAAAACTGGCTGGCAGTGTGACTCAAGTGGTAGAGCATTTGCCTAGCAAGCACAAGGCCTAAACCCCAGTATCATCAAATAAATAAATAAATAAAAAGAAAAGAAAAAAGCAATGTTCTCATATCATGGCTTAGCCATGAAATGTCCCCCACAGGCTCATATGTTGAATGCTTGGTCCCCAGCTGGTGGTGCTATTTTGGGAAGTGGGGTCTAGCCAGAGGAAGTGGGTCACTGGGGGCATCTGTGGAGGTTACACCCGGTCCCTGGTCTGCTCTTTTCTCTCTACTTCCTATCAGCTATGAGCTGAAGAAGCTCCTTCTCTACACGCTCCTGCCGCCATGATGTTCTGCCCAACCCACGATGGACTAAGCCTTCTGAAACCAACAGCCAAATCATTCTTTCCTCCATTAAGCTGTTGTCTTGGGTATTTTGGTCACAGTGATGAAAAAGCTAATTAATGCACCCCACCTTATTTCAAACAAAAGAAGCTAATGCAAAAGTCCCATCTTGTATTATTTCATTTCTGTGAAGTATCCAGGAGAAGTCAATCCAGGCATGGGCGCGGTGATGGCACAGGGGATTGGTAACAAACAGGACTGAGGATGTTGAAATCGGGCATGGTGCTGGTTGCCCAACTCTGTAACTTTATTAAAAATCACTGAATTGTACAAAACAAGTGAATTTTATGGTATGTATATTGTATCACTACAAAGCCATGACAAAGTTCATGTCTATAATCCCAGCTCCTTGGGTGGCAGAGATAAGGATGATTGCAGTTCAAAGCCAGCCTGAGTAAAAAGTTAGCAAGACCTCATCTCAACAAACAAGCCAGGTGTGCTGGTTCATGTCTGTAAACCCAGCTGTGCAGGACACAGGCAGGATTGTGGTTCAAGGCCTGAACTGGGCAAAAACATCAGCCCCTATCTGAAAAATAACTAAAGCAAAATGAGCTGGAGGTATGGCTGTAGTGGTAGAGTGCTAGCCTAGAAAGCATAGGGCTCTTAGTTCAAACCCCAGTACCACCAAAGGAAAAAAAATTTTTTAATATACTGCATTTATTTATTTATTTATTTAGGCAGTACTAGGGTATGATCTCAGGGCCTTGCCCTTGCTAGACAGGCATTCTACCACTTGAGCCATGCCTCCAGCCTTTCGTTATATATTTTATATAATATATATTATTTTATGGGGTGGTATAATATTAACTCGAGATAGAGTATGGTAGGTTAAGAATCAATGTTGTAATCCTCTGGGCTGGCAGAGTGGATCAAGTGGTGGAGTGCCTACCTATCAAGTTTGAGGCCCTGAGTTCAAATGCCAGTACCACCAAAAAACCAAAAGCAAAAACAAAAAACTTAAAAAAATTAGTGTAATCCCTTGAACACCACTAAAAATAATCTGAGAGATATAGCCAATAAGTCAACAGAGGGGACATACTAAAAAACAAAATAAAAATTTAAAAAACCCACAAAACGGACAAAGACTTGATTAAAAGAACAAGAAGAAAATTCCAGTGGTTTTTTTTTTTTTTGTAGAAATTGTCAAGCTGCTAAAATTTATATAATAAAAAAAAGAAACCAAATTAGCAAAATAATCCTGTAAAAGAACAACAAAGCAGAGGACTTATGCTATCTGATCTCAAGATCTTTATGATACTGGGGTTTGAACTCAGGGCCTCACACTTGCTAGGCAGGCACTCTACTACTTGAGCCACTCCACCAACTCTAAACTTGTTTTGGAGTTACAGTAATCAAGACAGTGTGATTGATAGTGGCAAAAGGAGAGAACAAAACGGATCAAGGGAATAAAACAGACATTCTAGAAAGAGACCACAATATATGGTTAATTGATTTTTGATAAAAGAACCCAAACTAATTCAATGTAGCTGTGAATAGTGTTTTTCAGCAGTAGTTCTGAATTGGATACCTATGTAGAAAAAAAGAATCTCAACTCCTCCCTTGCACCATGTACAAAAAGTAAATTTGATCATAAACCTAAAAAAATAAGTTAAAACTATAAAGCTTATAGGGGGCTGGTGGAGTGGCTCAAGTGGTAGAGTGCCTACCTAGCAAGTGTGAGGCCTGAGTTCAAGCCCCAGCACTGCAAAAAAACCAAACTTATAAAGCTTATAGAATGAGACACAGGAGAATGTCTTCATGATCTTGGGTCATGATCTAAGACAAATATTCCTTTGGGCCACATAATATACTGTCATAAAAGAAAAGATATTCAACAAATTGAACTTCATCTAAATTAGAAACTTCTACTGATTAAGGTGGTGCACACCTGTAATCCCAGCACTTGGGAGGCTGAGGCAGGAGGATTATGAGTTTGAGGCCAACCTGAACAACAGAGTGAGACTATATCTGACAAAGGACTTGCACCCAAAATGTAAAAGAACATATGAAATCCAATACAAAAAGACAAACAGTGAAGATAGACAAAAGACTGAAACAGTCCCTTCACAAAGAAAGACAATGAATGGCCAATTTTCTATATTTTAAGTCAGGTGTTAAGTTCATAGATACACAGATCTGACGAGATTTAATGTACAATCAATCAAAAAGATACAGCCAAATGGAATAATGGATAAAAGAGATGAATAGGTTTCTTTTTACAGATAATGATAAACGAATAGAGAGAGAGAGAGATACACAGCCCTCATTTATAATGAAGAAAAAGCACCCGAAGGCCATGCAGGATGTTATTTCACATCTACTCGATTGGCAGAAATTAAAAGGCTGGCCACATGGAGCACTGGTGAGAACATAGCATAATAGGAATTCTCATACCAAGCCGATAAGAGTATAATTTGGTATAATTGTTTTTGCTTTGAGATTCTCTTCCACTCCAAGGTATATAATTTAGAGGAAGCCTTGTACTGTGACCAGGAGACATGTACAAGAATGTTTATAACAAAGTAATTATGCTGGCAAAAAAAGATACAACCTAAATGTCTGCATATGCCACATAATTGGGGTGTAATCATACAGTGGGGCATGCACAGAAATGAGAATGAACGGTAGTTACACACAACCATATAAAAACGTACGGTTGACAAAAGATGCAAAACAATGAATGCAGATTGATTTTTTTTAATGCAGATGGAAAGAGTCACTAGTGTTCTGTTTAAGGTTCCAGACATGTGGGTAAAAATGAAAAAGAAAAGAATAATTAATATGAGAGACAGGACCATAGCTATTTCTTGGGTAAATGGATCTTGGAAGAGCAAACAGGGACCTTTTAAGAGGGTGACAGTTTTTCCTATATTTTAAGTATGGGAACTTATTTTATTCATCTTTAAGCTGTAATATACATTTTATACACTGGATGTATACATACTTCACAATATAAAAAACAAGTAGAACATTATGTTAAATTAAATAAACCAGTCATAAATGACCACATATTGCATGACTCCATGTAGATGAAATGTCTAGACTAGAAAAACCTATAGAGACAGAAAGCAGATTAGTGGTTGTCTCAGACTCGGAAGGTGGGCGAGAAGTGGGAGTGACTGTTAATGGGCCTGGGGTTTCTCTTTGGGGTGAGGAGAATATTTTTAAATTGATTGTGATGATGGTTGTACAACTCTGAAAATCCTAAAATCCATGGAAACATATTCTTCAAATGGGTAAGTTGTATGTTATATGAATTATATCTCAACAAAGCTTTTATTAAAAAATAGGTAGAGAAGGGCTCATGGCTGTAATTCCAGCTACTTGGGAGGTAGAGATCAGGAGAATCACGGTTGGAGGTCAGCCCAAGTGAAAAGTTAGTGAGACCCCATCTCAATCAGTAGCTGGGTGTGGTGGTACGTGCCTGTCATACAAGCTATGAGGGAGGCTATAGATAGATGGATAACAATCCAGGCCACCCAGGCATAAACATGAGCCTCTATCCCAAAAATAACTTAAAAACAGAGAAATGGGACATACAGAAAGCTTCCAAATGGACAAAGAGATAGTGAAGGTGACAAGGAGAAGAGGGAGACAGTACTGTGGTCAAATTTTAGCAGGCACTCAAATCACATGAAGGGTTTGTTAAAACTATCCCCATATAGGTATCTAATACATTCCATTGGATGAGTGGATGAATGGGTGTTGAGTTGGGTATTTGGAAGAGTGGATGGGTGGGAATTGAATAGATTCATGGATGGATAAAGGGTGACTGGATGGGTAATGGATGTTAATTGGATGGATGGATGGATGGATGGATAGATGGGTGGTTGGATAAACGGATGGGTGGATAAATGGATGGGTGGGTGGGTGGGGAGGTGGATGGATGGAAGGATGGGTGAGTAGATGGATGGATGAATGGAGGGAGGGAGGAAGGAAGGTAAGGAGGGAGGGAGGAGGGAGGGATGGGTGAGCAAGTGGATGGATGGAGGAATGGATGGATGATGGATGGAGGGATAGATAGACGGGTGGATGGATGGATGGATGGATAGGCGGGTGGATGGATAGGTAGTAGGATGGATGGAGGGATGGATGGATGAAAGGTGGTTCAGAGTTAATAGAGCAGATGACAGGGTTGAGAAGTAGTGTAGAGAAGGACTTAAAGTCAAAACCTAGTTTTGACTCTTGGGTTCACCACCTAACAGCTATGAAATGTTTGGGTTTGGCAAGTGACTTCATCTCCTGGAACTTTATTTTCCTCATGTGTGAAATGTATTAATATCCTTGGAAAAGCCTAGTACAGAGCCTGGCACACAGTGGCTGCTTTCTATTCTTTGCTTAAGTCTGATTATTACCATCATATATCACGGGGCTGTACTGTGTGGATGAAACTAGAGGCTTGTAATTCAGGTCCATCTTGTTTCCGTAGTGGCCCATGCTGACCTCGAATTGGATCAGGTCCTTAAAGTTGGGCATCATGGTACAGGAGAGGAAGACGACACACAGCCCATACTTTAGGCGGTTCTGCTGTTTCTAAAACAATAAGCCACACATCCCCAGCACATAAACCATGGCATGAATAAACATACACTGATAGCAGGGACAAGGGGCCCTGTTACTTTCAAAATCTATCTGTGCTTCATTCAGGGTAAACTAGATCATCATTTAAACCCACCCCCCCTTACACCTGGATGATCAAGGCCAACTCCTCCTGAGATCTCCATCATCTTCCCCATTCCACCAAGCCAGCCCTGATTCCTTCCCTTCCTGAAGCTGGACATGAGTGTCTCTTTCCTAGTCAGACTAGGCTCTGAGTTTGGCTACCCTTCCCCCATTTCAAGTAGTGTGTCTCTTCCTTTATGCCCAAAGCCCCTGTTTAGAAGAGACAGTGTGGCAGGTGTGTGTCTGAGAACACACACACATTCACACATGCACGCACTCTCTTCTCAAGTCCCCTCCCCTTCCCAGAAAGACCACACCTTTCCCTGCCTCCACTGCCCTCAGTGACCCACTGCTACCTGCCTGAGCCCTCTCTCTACCACATCAGACCCTCTCTGCCCTATTTCTACATTCTGCATCTGCTCACTGGCTCAGGTCTCCCCTACCTTAAAAAACAAAAAACCCTCTTTCTCCCATATGAGCCCCAATTTAGCTACTAACCAACCTTATCTTCTTCCACTTTTCAACCAAGTTTTTTAGAATTCTTGTCTCCTCTCATCGTCTCCAACTCCCCCTCCCATCTATGGTGGCCTAGCATCTCTCCTGACCCACAGCTACCAGGGCCTTCCTGAGTAAGCAGCAGACATCTTAAAGTCCTCTCTCTCTCTCCTCTCTCTTTCTCTCTAGCACATTCAAGATCTCTGACCACCAACCAGGTGCTGTGGTCATACCTGTAATCTCAGCTAATTGGGAGATGGAGATAGGAGAATCACGGTTTGAGGCTGCCTCAGAGAAGAAAATAGCAAGACTCTATCTCAAAAAACAAGCAGGGCATGGTGGTGTATGTCTATAAGCCTAATTATGCAGAAGGTGAAAATAGGAGAACTATGGTCTAAGGCCAGCCTGGGCAAAATGTGTGAGACCCTATCAGAAAAATAACGAAAGCAAAAATGGTTGGCAGAGTGGCTCAAGTGGTGAGGCTCTGAGTTCAAACCCTAATACTCTCCCCCTCCAAAAAAAAAAATCTCCAGTCACTCCTTTTCTTCTTCTTTCTCCCACCTCTGTAGACTCCTCCTCCAGCTTCCCCTTAGACTATAGCATCCTGTTAGACTCCATCAACTTTCTTCTCCTTCCCACCTACTCTCACTGGACCATTTCTTCCAGAGTTACAGCTTTAAACCCTGGTATGCTGATGACACACTGCTGTTGCTAGCAGCCTTGGGGCTGGGCTATGTGGACGTCTCACAGCACATGCCAGGGATGGAATTTGTCATCTCCCCAGGTCTGCTCCTTCTTTGGGGAGCCCATCTTGGTCCCTGCCACCCTAACCACTTTCTCACCCAAGGCAAAAAAATGGGCATGAACTTAGGGAGTCAGCCTCACTTCTTTTGTCCTGTTGGTCACTGGCTCTGACTATTCTGCTTCCAAAAGATGTTTGGACCCTGCCTCCTCCCTCCAGCTCTCCTCCACCAAGACTGTATCCCACTTCTGTCTGGCTGACCCAACTTGCTCCCCTCCAGTAGGTATGCTCCTCCTGCACCTACCAGCTTCAGTGGCCCTCCACAGGCTTCAGGAAGAAATCCTAATTCCTTAGATTCTTTTACAAAGCCCCAAGAACTACGATAAAATGATCCATCTTCCTTAACTAGATTGCACAGTCCTTAACCTTGTGTGTGGGGATCACCACGGGGGATCTGGCACAGCATGAAGGCCCCAGCGGGGACTTAGTAAACATTCAGGAGATTGATCAGGCATCTTTACACACTCAACAGCTTGCTTGCACCAGGGCTTCTTAGAGGGTCAGAAACTTGGGCCCACTGTAGATCTGGGGAAAGCAGATTCTTTTTTCTGGGTTACCTGTTTCCTGTGGTTACCTCTATACTGGTCACTTCCTGGGAGAGATCTTTTATCGTAATGTCTTGATGGGACTTGATGTGAGTAATTAACTCCAGAAAGACTCGGCCTCGATAAGATAAGCCATCCTTGACAGTGTCAGGAACACACTAGGGCAACAGAGAGAAAAGGGATGAGAGGAAAAAAAGGGCAGGCAAATCTCCCCAGGCCCCCCACAGCAAAGACAAGGCTGTCCAGTGATTGCCTGACTGGAGATAGCTCTGACCATGATCCCAGATACCCACACATGTCCATGTCAGGAATCCTCTAGGCCTGACCCCTCTTCTGCATGCCTAGCATCCACTCCTCCTGTTCATGCATTCCATCTGCCAGACAACTTGAAGGATTTTGCACCACACACTGTTAAAATGCTCAGGTCTTGGAGGGGGCTGTGATAACCACAGTGAGCCCTCCCAACCTGGTCCATCAAAACACACCTGCCTCCTTGGCAACAGTGATTGGTCTAAGGAGTGCACATATGACCAAAGGAGGCCAGTTAGAATTCTCCCCCGGCTTTGTGGCCAGCTTCCCAGCTCTGAGCCTTATGTTGCAGTAGAGAAGAATGATGGGCAGAGATGGATGAGAGAGGGAGGAGGCTTCCTACCCACTTTTTAGACAGCGAGACAGGGTCTCACTATGCGGCCCGGGCTGGGCGTGAACTTTCACTCCTCCTGCTTCAGCCTCCTGAGCACTGGGATTATAGATGTGCGTCACCACACTTGGCTCTCATTCCCTTTTTGGTTAAGCCTGTTCTAGGTGGATTCCTGCCATTTGTCACCAGTCTTCAGTAAGCACATGCTTTTCTATGTTTACCTGTGCCATGTCTTTTTCTTACCTGAGATCTCATCTCAATGCCATTTCCTCAGTGACCATCTAGAGCACTCTATTTGTTCTTTTCTGGTGCCATGGCTTATGTCTCATATATGCATATCTATTTCTTTACAGGTTTCCTATCCTCTACCAGAATGTGATGGACAGAAACCAGGGCCAAGTTCTCTCTGATCGTTTGCCAGGCTCTGGTGCTTAACATGAGGTTGGTTTTTTGTTTTTTTTTTTTGTCTCCAGTCCCCACCAGAGCTGAGAAGAGAAGCTTACAGTGCCTTCTTCCTGGATCCTGAAAGGGGCCTTTTTGCCCCCACGGAGAGTCAGGAAGCTGGGGCCAAAGCAGGGCAGGAAGCCAGAGTACATTCCTGGAAGAGAGTGGTAGAACACATGGTATGGGGTCCAGGTGGGAGAGATGTGGAGAAAGGGGCCCCAGGCTTTGCTTGCCTTCAATCTCCTCTCCACTGGATGAGATCTGGTTGAGGGACAGGCTGACAGTCCCAATCTCATCCCGGCAATTCTTCCTGGAGCTGGGGAGGAAGAAACACACTCTGAGGCCTGAGCCCCTGGCCAGGCTCCTCCTGTCATGGGCTTCAGCCTCCAGCCATTTGCTCACCAGTCCAAAACTCTGAACTTGATATAGCTGGAGAGGCAGGGCAGCTGCAAAGGGAAGGCAAGACGAGTGGTGAGTACACACTGAATGGCTTGAAACTTCTCAACTTGAGAAGACTTTAGAGCATAGGGGAGTCCTGGCTCTGAAGCATGGCTGAGTTACCATTTAATCACAGGCAAGCCGGATTTACCACTGAACTTATGGGACTTTGGTTTTAGGGCCTTCTACTTCCATGGGCCTCGTGAAGCCCTGGGACTGTATTACATAATCACTTTTACATTCTTGGTTTTGTTTTTTTTTTTTGGTGGCACTGGGGTTTGAACTCAGGGCCTTGCACTTGTTAGGCAGGTACTTTATCACTTGACCATGCCCCCAGTCCTTTTTTGCTTTACTTATTTTTCACATAGGGTCTCACGATTTTGCTTGGGACTGGCATCAGACTGTGATCCTCCTACCTATGCCTCTCAAGTAGCTAAGATTGCAACCTGCGTCACCATGCGCAGCTTGTTGGTTGGGATGGGGATCTCACTAACTTTTACCTCTGGGACAGGCCTTGAACTGATCTCCACTTTCCAAGTAGCTAGGATTACAAATGTACTTCATCACACCCAGCTTGTTGGTTGGATTGGCATCTAATTTCCCCCACTCTCTACCTTGAACCAATTTCCACCTTCCAAGTAGCTGGGATAACAGGCGTGAACCACACCTGGCCTCTTGTTCTTAAAATGGCTTCTGTTTGTTTAAACTTCAGGATCCAAGAGACCTGGGCCCAACCCTGACTGTGGCCTCAGTGAGCATTTATGATCCTTATGAAGTCCTTCACAGCCTAAATGCATGCTCAACATACCACATCATGCAAAGGTTGTTAGCTTTTTAAACAGCAGGATATCTATCTTTTCAAAAAGTAACAGCAATAGCTATCACCTTGGAGGGCTTCTGTTGTCCTCAGCCTGGGCTGAACAATCTCCCTAGGAATTCGTTTTTGCCCAGGGCTGGCCTACCACCTAGCTGGGATTACAGGCATGTGCCACCCCCAATCCCCCTCCCCCATTTTCATTTTTAATGTGGGTGAAAGGACATATTTACATTTTCTGGGAAGTTCAGTTGAAGGGCCCACTCATTGCTTAATACTGGATAAATAAGTAAGGTTGCCCCTAATATGTCCTGGACTCCCTCAGTCTCCCTATCAGGTGAGCCTCCCCTTGCTGTGCTTCTCAACCTTACTTCCCGCCCACACCCCCCCACAACTGCCAGAACTTCTCTTCCATTTGAGGACAGTGGGGGAAGGGCAGGCATAAAGAGCAGCTGTACCTGAATCTGGAAGGTCAAGATCTGGTTCCATATGGGGTTGTCAGTCTGGGTCCGTGTGTATGTCTTGAGCTGAGAACACCCAAAAGCAGGGTCAGTGCCAGTATGTCCCCTCCTCCTGCCACTAGGCCTCACTTTCCCACCTCCCTGTCCAGCCTGAAGATGGATACTGTCTGCAGCACCCAGGCTAATCCCTGGTCTAAAGCTGTCCTTGATCGCTTCTCAGCAGCTACAACTTCAGTCCCTTTGCTACTTATCTCAAAGTGTTTGCCAGAGCCAGATTCCTCCATATTTCTCCTTAAAACAATGTCAATGGATTTTTTAAATCATTATTACTATTATTGTTATTATTGCCGTGTTGGGAATTGAATCCACAGCCTCATGCATGAGAGGCAAGCACTCTCCCATTGAGCTATACCTCCAGCCCTTTGAATTTTAAATAGGTATGGTTAGGGCTATTAACTTTACTATATGAGCACATACACATAGATTTTGTTAGATAAATTCTAAGATCCCAAGAGAAAAATGGCCCAAAACACAGCTGATGGCAATAATGTACCTGTTTTAAAACCACCAAAATTGGCTTTAAATCTAGCCTTATTCTAAGTAATATCTGAGAAATAAAGTGTTAGTTGGCCTTATTAGGCTTTTTAAGGTACACACTAAGAAAAACACAAAAATATGAAACATTCAAAAACTGTCACTTATCCCCAAAGAATATCTCACCTAGCCCCAGGAGTACCCAGACTACTGGGAAATACCTACCCAGTGTAGTGGTTTTAAATATGTCTATGGATTCTTTAGTATGCTACCTTGGAAAGGTGGACATTAATTCTCCTCCCCTTATGTATGGGCTGGGATTTAATGACTTGCTTCTGCAAGTAGACTACAGTAGAAATGATGGCTTGTGAGCTCTGAGACAAAAATATTTAACTTTGACCTTGCATTCCCTGAACTCGAATGCAGGACCATTTTTTGCACACAACCCCCATCATCACATTGTGAAAAATGCCACTCTGTATTCATAGAGGTTCATGTAATGCTAGCAAGTCTCTTGCATGGAATTTTAAATCTATAGATAAAGAAACTGTGGCCCAGAGGGAAGGTGACATGTTCTGTGTTGTGTTTGCTGACATACTGTTTATTCACTCGTTCATTCCTCCATACTCCTGCCCATTTGATTTCTTTAGGCTCCTTCTCTATGCAGGGTGAACATAGGCGTGCAAGGTGAGTAAGACATGGCTTTTACCTTCACAGAACTCCAGGTCCAGGGCTCATGCCACCCATTAGGTGATGGGCTGGGATGCCATTTCTGGCTGCTGTCCAGTCTATGCACTACTTTTTCTAGGAGTTAAGGCCTCTAGATCTACGGATCCTTTCTATGCTTACCTTTTCCCCAATTAGTTCCACCTCCAGCACGGGATTCAAGGACTGGTGTTTCTCTGTGAACAAGAAATTAAAAGACTTCTCAGACAGTAGCATCTTCTTCTTTTTTTTTTTAAGGAGGAGAAAATGGAGAGGTGACATAACAACTTTACCCCACCTCCATAATTTAGTTTGGTACCCCCTGGCAGTCAAAGAACTGTCTTCAGTTACCACTCTGCCCCTTCTGTGTGTCATCCACATAACAGCACAAGGGGTAGGATGGTCTCACGGAAGCTTGAGTCTGCACCTGGGTATCAAAAGCCAGGTCAAGGGCATGGGGCCCAATTGAAAGGGTGTCTGTGGGAACTTCATTAAACAATTCTTGGTAGATTTCAGTCTTACCCTGAGCCCCACCCTAAGTCTTTGGTTAGTGTCAAAAAGAATAAGGAAGCTCCATGAGGACATGTGGTGCCCCCTGTGCAGGGAACCTCAGGGTTGCTCCCTCCCCTGCCCCCGACTGACTGAGATGAAGGTCCTCTGCACAGTAGATGAACAACTGTAAGTAAGCCAAGCTGATGGGGACCGCCTCGGACCTGAAGATCTGAACATCGGTAGCAGCCCCATACGGCAGCTTTTGATCTACCTGGAGAGACCAGAGATCCTGATAGGATTGGGCCACCGGGAAGTCACAGTCGAGGCCACCCACCTTTGCTTCCCCAACCTCCCCCTTGGTGCAGGGAGAGTGGACAACACCACAGTGACACAGTGGACAAACGGAAGGGTGGGCAGTCCAATGGCTACTTTGAGGGCCCAGGGTGGGAAATGTTACTAAGGTATGGGGAGCAGTCTCACCAGGGCTTGGTCTCCCACTCCGAGGGCACAGATGGTGACTTTCAGGTAGCCTGTCACACCACTACCAGGCTTATTTGGTTGGCAGAGGCCTAACCATTTCCTTAGGAGTGTGTGACCTGCAGAGGCAGAGGGGCAGCGGGAGACTGGCCTCTGGTCTCCATTGCTTTCTACTAAAACCAGTCTATGTTTCTGGGGAAGACAGGCAGGAAACATGTCATACGAACTTTGGTTCCCACCCAGTGGCAGAGGAAAACAGAAGTCACTCCTACCATTAGGCAATAACAGTGCACTCAAAAAAGCTGCCAACTGTTGCCTTTGGGAAAGAGGGACCCATTTTCCCACCCTGGCAATCTGTTGATGTGCCCGGCCTGGTCTGGTGACAAGACAGAGATAGCCTTTTCCCTACCTCCAAATCCAAATCTTAACCTGGTATGAATGTTATGGTCAGTCATGGTGGAATTCTCCACTTAAACTTCAGTCTGTCTTAGAATAGTGGTTACTAGAAGTTAGGATAGGTGGGAGGGAGGAAGAAGAGCTGGGAAGAAGACAGTTAAAGGTTATGGCTGAACAGGGGTGAATAAAGCCTCTATGTTCTAGAGCACAGTGAAGTAACTATGTTTGACAATAGTGCCCTTCAAAATAGCTAGTGGAGAGGATTTTGAATGTTCCAAATACAAAGTAATGATAAATGTTTGAGGTGACATTATGCCAACAACCTGATATTTACATATATATACATGTATTGACATATCACTCTGTATTCTATAAACATATAAAATTATTAGTTGTTTTAAAAAGCAACCTTAATCATCTAATAGTGGCTTTAAAAAACAGAAGTCCAACCCAGGGCTGCAATAAAAGGCTAGCATTTGACCCAAATGGAATGCCTTGAGTTTTTCAAAGAAAAATGCCATTATCACAAAGCAAGATAAAATACCATGAAGTGCAGTGAATATTACCAAATACAGAGAGCAACACAGATCCTGTAATACTTTCCCTTATTTGTTGAGGATTCTGAGTTACTTTGGCCCCTGGTTTTTCTCAGAAGACAACATATTTACCTACCTGGAGAATGGTAGATAAACCCAATATCTGTCTGAAAAGACAAGAGTGGAATGAAGATTAGCTGCATCTTGGATTTTAAATGTCCCCCAAAGGCCCATGTGTTAAAGCCTAGGCCCCCAGCTTTAACCCACTTTTGGGAGGTATTGGAACCTTTAAGAGGTGAGGCTTGGTGGAAGGTCTTTAGGTCATTGGGGAGCATGCCCTTAAGGACATTGTGGTACCCTGTCCTTTCCTCTTTCTCTCCTTCACTTCCTGGCCATGAGGTCACTATTTTGCTCCACCAGGCACTTGCTGTGCTGCTTTGCCACAGGCCCAAACCAAGGCCAATTGATCATGGGTTGCAACCTCTAAAACTTTGAGCCAAAATAAACCTCTTCTTTTAAAAGCTGGTTATCTCAAGTATTTGTTTTGATAAGGGAACGCTGACTAACACAAGCCTGCTGTTAAGATTTGCTATACCACCTAACTCAGCGACAGTAATACTAACTACCAGTGCTTGAGCACAGTCCTTGTCTAAATTCCCTTAGTTTTTACCACAACCTGGATGTTAGGTTAGCACCTTCATTCTGCAGAGGAAGATGCTGAGTTTGAAAGATGTGTCCAAAGTCTTACAGTTAGTAAGCCAAGAAACCTGAACATTACACTGTTAGGCCCACCAACGAGGCCTTGACTCTTCCCTGTCCCTGAAAAGGGGAGGGTGTCTCCATCCTGAGGGAAGAGGATGGTCAAAGTTGGAGATGGCAAAGAAACTATGGATTTTCCTTGTCCCCTGGGACACAGTGTCTGACAGGCCTGAGGGATGTGGTGCAGGGTTTAAGGGGATATGTGTGGGGCCAGGGCCTATCCTTTAACCCACATCTAAAGATTCCATGGATCAATACTGAGATTCTATACAAAGGCTTGCTTTAAAACTCAGTCTCACCCTTGGGTTAAGTAGGTAAAGACTTCTTAGCTATAAGAAAACCGTGATCCAGGCTAGGGGTGTAGCCCAGAGGTAGAGTACTTGCCTAGCCCAAAGCTCTGAGTCCAGTTCCCAGCAACACACACACACACACACACACACACACACACACACAGCGCATAAATGAAAAACTTGATAAATTGGACTTCACCAAAATGTCTTTTCTCTTCCTCTCTTTCTTGGTACTGGGGCTTGGGTTTTTTGTTGTTGTTGTCATTATTGGTACTGGGTTTGAACTCAGGACCTCACACTTGCTAGGCAGGCGCTCCACCACTGGAGTCACTCCACCAGCCCAGTACTGGGGTTTGATCTCAGGTCTTCACATTTGCAAAGCAGTCCTTTATTTTTTCTCTCAATGCTGGGATCAAGCCCAGGGCCTTGTCCTCTACCACTGAGCTATATCACCAGTCCTGGATGTCACCAAAATGTAAAACTTCTGCTCTTTGGTCATGGATATGCCAATTACTCTGATCCAATCATTGCACACTGGATACATGTTGAAATGTCACACTGTACCCTATATGTAGAGTCATTATGTGTCTACACATAAGGTGTTATTAAAAATATAAGTTCTGCTGAACTAAGGGTACAGTACACAAAAGCTTCAGGCTATGTTTGGATTCTCATCTACTAGGACTTAATATTTTATTCTTTAATTTGCCTTGTCTGCTAGGAAAAACCTGTGCCCAAGAATCTGAGGTTTTTAACTGACAGCAGAGCTTAAGCAATTTAATTAGTGATGGATCTGATTAGCATAGTTTGTTTATAGTTTATATGAGCAATATGTTTAGAGGTTAAGTGAAGAATTTAGTTTTGTGAGGTCTTTTGACAGTACTGGGATTTGAACTCAGAGTGTCATGCTTTGCTAGGTGAGCACTCTACTGCTTGACTCACATTCCCAGACCTTTCTCATTAGTTATTTTTGAGATAGGATCATGTGGCTTTGCCCAGTAGCCTGGACTATGACCCTCCTACTTATGCCTCCTATGTAGTTGTACATCCAGGAGTATGCCACAATATCCATCTTTTGTTGTTAAGATGATGGGGTGTGGGGTCTTCCCTTATTTTGCCCAGGCTGGCCACAAACAGTGATCCTATTCCTACTTCCTGAGTAGCTAGGATTAGGGTTGTGAGCCACTGCACCCCGCTAATGTCTTAATGTTTAATGTTACTTTCCAGGAAGATTTGAGGGAAACCCTGTGTCTCATATTGGCTAACTCAGAAAGAGCTTTGGACTGGATATCCTACGAGGTTTTCCAGTCAAATTCCAAAGACTAAAGCACGGGTTGAAATTTTTAAAATAATTTAACTTTGCCTTTTTTTTGGTGACTCGGTCTCTGTATTTCCTAGGGTAGCCCTGAACTCCTGGTCTCAAGAGATCCTTCTGCCTCAACCTCTCTAACAGCTAGGTCTATACATATGTGCCACCATGCCTGATCCATAGATTGGAATTTTAATAAAAAACAAAACAAAACGAAACAACTTCTACTCTTTGAAAGATATCGTTAAGAAAATGGAAGGAAACCAACAAAAACAGAAAGAGAATGTTCATAGCATGGCCCAAGTAGTAGAGCACCTACCTAACAAATGCAAGGCCCTGAGTTCAAACCCAAACACCACCAAAAAAAAAAGAAATGATAGCTATCTACTGGGAGAATATATTTGCAAATCATATACCACATTGAAAACATGAAAGAGGTTTGAGCAGGAGCAGATACTTTATCCACAAAGGTATGGAGAAGATGATCACATGAAAACGTGCTCAACATTATTCTTCTTCAGGGAAGTACAAATTAAAACCATGTGATAGCACTATACACCATTAGAATAGCTAAATTAAAGATTAACTATGTCAAGTGCTGAATATGCGGCAACTAGAACTCTAATACAAAATGGTAAGCCTGGTTTGGAGTTTTGGGGAAAAAAAACTGTTAGGCATTTTCTTTAAAACTTAAACATAAGTCAGGCACAATGGTACATGCCTGTAATCCCATCACTTGGGAGGCTTAGGCAGGAGGATCTTGAGTTCAATGCCAGCCTGGTGATATAGTGAGACCCTGTCTCAAATAAATAAGACCCAAACTGAAACAAACAAAAGCCAAGCATATGATCTGCATATTCAGCCAAGAGACATAAAGCATACGCCACCCAAGATTTATGTTTTAATCCAACAGCTTTATTGAAACTATTATCTTAATTTCTGATGAGATAATTGGATATTAGAGAAGAAACAAATTTTTCCCGGGGTTGCACTTTTAGATGTGAGGATCCCTTCTTTTTTTTTAGCTTTAAAAAAAAACTGTATGTGTGTGTGTGTGTGCGTGTGTGTGCACGCGTGCGCACACACAGTACTGGGGTTTGAACTCAGTGCCTCACACTTGCTAGGCAGGTGCTCTACCACTTTAGCCACTCTGTCAGCCCAGAAACTTCATTGTAAATTTCATAAGAATAGATGTAAAAAGAGGAAAGAATTCAGTTCATCCTTGTGATAGTTTGGGGGTTCTCTTATATTAGAACTACCTGCTTGCTAAACCCATCTAAGATTTATATAGACATGTTATAGCAGCTTTATTGTAATAACCCCAAGCTGAAAATAGAATCTAAGTATGTATGAACAGGTGAATGGGTAAACTCTGATATTTCATCCAATGGAATATTACTCAGTAATAAAAAGGAATGAATCATTTATAGATGTAATAATGTAGATGAAGCCCACTATAATTCTGCTTAGTGAAAGAAGCCAGATGCAAAAGGGCTAATACTATATGATGCCATTTATATGGCTCTAGAAAATGCAAGCAATCTTTAGTAATAGAATGCAGATCAGCAATTGCCTGGGGATGGGAGGGAGTGGGAGGGAAGTGAAAGGACAGAAGTGAGGGAAATGATCACCAAGAGGCATGAGGCAATTTGGAGAGTGATAAGATGTGACAGACATGTTTGTTATCTTTCAGTGGTGCTGGGGTTTGAACTCCAGACTTTGCATTTGCCAGACAGGTGCTCTGCTGCTTGAGTCACTCCTCCAGCAAATGTTTTAAAACATTTTAAATAAGTACAATTCATTGTATACCAATTGTATCTCAATAAAACTGTAACTAAAGAAAACAAAACAAAAAAACTCAGTCACTCAGTAATAGATCTAGCTAGTGATCATCAAGAGCTGGTTGACATAAAAAGAGAGACCCACAGACATTGTGTCCCTCCTGCTAAAGTCACAGTGCCAAATAACTGACTCAAGTCTGATTAAGCCTCAAGATAAAGAAATGGGGGGTTGGAGGAGTGGCTTAAGCAGTAAAGAATCTGCTAGCAAGCACAAAGCCCTGAGTCCAAACCCCAGTACTGTAACAACAACAAAAACGTAAAAAAGCGGGGAAAGATAGGGAAATGGGGAGGGGCCTGAGAAATGAACCCCTGGGGAAGCAATTCAAAACATACAGGTTGGGGGGCTGGAGGCATGGCTCAAGTGGTAGAGCCCCTACCTACCAAGCACAAGGCTCTGAGTTCAAACCAAATACCAGAAAACAAAACAAAACAAAATCCAGGCTGGTGAATACTATCCCATTTTCTTAACAAATAAATTGCAACTTAAAAAAAGAAAAAGGCAGAGAAGAGCAGCAGCATGAGAGACCTAAAACATGTATTACCCACTTGTAATGAATGAATCTATTTTGAGTCCTGATTTAAAACTGGAAGAGAGCTCTGAGAGGCAATTAGGGGAGTTTTAACACTGACCGGACATTTAGTGATTATCCAGTAATTATGAAGGCTTTTAGATGTGATCATTGTATAGTGGTTATGCTTAATATAGCCAGTTTTAGAGATATGGATTGAAATATCTGAACATAAAACAATACGATGCCTGGGATTTAATTCAAAATAATCCAGGAGAGTAGGGTAGGGGAAGGGCACTGGGTATAGATAAACCACGACTAACCATGAATTGGTGAAGTTGAGTGATGAGCACATGGGAGTTTGTGATTCCATTTTGTGTATAAAAAAGCAACATATATATATATATATAATATATATATATATATATATATATATATAATTTTATGTTTGTGGGGTGTGTGTGTGTGTGTGTGTGTGTGTGTGTGTGTGTGTGTGCTGGGGACCAAATGCATCTACCACTGAGCTATATCCCCAGTTCAAAAGTAATATTAAAAACAACTCAGTCAAGCTCTGACCTCTGTAACTTATTCAATAGTTCATTGTCTGGAAATCATGCAGTGGTCTTTACTTCCTCCTATTTAACCTCTCCAGAGTCTTAAATTTCTAAGCCTGTGCTGCTTCTTTTGTGGGTTCAATGGGGGAGGGACAGGTCAGAATATTCATGTGATTACCACTAGGGGTAACAAACTTGACTTTCACTGGTGTTAAATTTCTTACCCAAGGGCAGTGGCCTTTTCCTAAAGTTGCCACATTTAGCAGATTAGAATAAAGAATGTCCCCTTCAACTTAGAGGAACCATGACTACTTTTATTTTTTAATGTCCATATACCCTCAGCAATATGTGGTATGGAGCCCATATAATTTTGGGGACATATTTGTTAAATAAAAATTATAGGAGGCCATTCTTTTGGACTAAGCTCTTGCACTGGGTCCCAACAGACTAGAGTAAAAATTAAAACAAAGTCAAAACGTGCAAAACCTCTGACCTTTGGAGAAAACTGGGGGTGGGGGGGCGGGGAATAGCCACATTTCCCAACCCAGCCAATGGGCATAACAATAAAACTGCCTCTGCTTTAATCCTTACATCCTTTAAGCCTTAATTCTTACAAAAAGTGACCCGAAGTAATCTAATGTTAACCGATCAATTATTTTCCAGGTGTTCTTGTTCTGTCTCCTTGTACTGCCTTACAAGGAAAGAGACCTTGCAACAACCAAGACACCTTTTGATCTTTGTTTCTGCTTCTTTCAGTTCTTTTATGTCCATAAAACTAACCCCTACTGCTTGGCCCAGAAGATCACTTATTCTATTTTATAGAATGAAGTGTTGCCTGATTTTAGAATCTCAAAATAATACCAATTTAAAATCTTTAAGTGATTGTAATTTTGTGCTTTGGAAGATCTAAAACATATCTATTGTTTAAGACTCAAAAGTAACTGGGCAGCTTATATTTAATTTAACAACCTACTTTTCCCCTATCACCCTGTATTTGGAGAATCTTGGTTTAACCTTTCATGGCTGTGTAAATTCTCACTGATAGAACAATAATGTCACCATTTTGTAAATCGGCCAAAATGGCAGCCCGCCCCTTAACAGAAATTCTTGTGCTGTAAGACAGCCCCATCCCTACCAGAGACTACCGCGCATGCCCTAACTTCCTTAACCTCCCCCTTCTATAAAAGCCATGCCTGGCCAGCCTGGCAGTTTGGGCCTGCCATTAAACTTTGCTGTATGGACGTGAGACTTTTCTCGTGAGCTTTCTTTGTGAGAGGCGTTTTTCCTAACACTCACCATCTCTCATCTGTGTCTTTTCTGTAATGCTGAGGATTGAACTAAGGGCCTCATGCTTGCTAGACAAGTGCTCTACCACTTGAGCTATCTACCCCCTCCTCCACTGCCCCAAGCCCTTTTGCTTTCAGTATGGTTTTCCGAAATCTAACTTTGTCTAGGCTAGCCTCAAACAGAGATCCTTCTACCTCTGCCTAGGATTACAAGCATGAGCCACCAGTACCCAACTTGTCTGTGTCTTTCTAAATCACATTATTTTCATTGTGTCCTCACAAGCAGCAATCTCTCCCTGGGTTTCTCCAACACTTAGGCTGGCCTTTTTTCATTATCTGCTTCCAATTTCTGGATTTGAACTGTGTCCCCAGTGTCATGAGTCTGGTTGGGTAACTCAACATGGTGCCTAGGTACTTCCCTAAATGTCACATATTTTAATCTTACAAATGACCATGCAGGTCATTTTATTATCCCTTTTGCAGATGAGGAAATGAGGAAATAGAGGTTCAGAATAACTTGTCTAAGTCACCCTACTGATAGGTGGATCCAAGTCTGGATCTTTCTGTGTGAGAAAATCCAAGTCCTTTCCCCTAGACTCAGAGCCTAGTCTGCATCTCTACAACTGGTTTCCCAAGCCTCCCCCTTTATTCAGTACTTACTTGGAATCTCCCAATCTCTGCTTTGGATCGCTTCACTGAGGAGTTCACCACCTGCAAGGGAATTCCCAGAAAGATCTTAACTATTCACAATCCTGATCCCCCATATCTCCCCAGGATCAAGAATAAGGGCACATCCATGCCTTCCTGATTTACTGAATGCTTCCTAATGGCCGACACTTGCACATTATTCATTTACTTCTCAGCACTGTGAGGTTTGGATTTTGAGTTCCATTTCCTTAACGAGGAAATAGATCAGAGCGCGCAATTCACTTGCTCCAGGTCAATACAAAGCAAGGTGTGGCAATCGACTTTCTCCATTACACATTGTTCTGGTTGTTTCCTCTGTGTCTTGTGCCCAAGAACATGTAAACACTTCTAGGAGACAGGACTCCTTGTTCTCCTTAGTTTTGTGCAGGACACACGGTGGACACTTGATAAACACATGTTCACCATGTGACCAGCTCCCTCTGGTTGGGGAATGGAGATTTCACTGCGAGGGGCTTGTGGTGACATGAGAATTCTTGTACACATGAAGGTGCTGCCTTGTTCACCTCAGTTCCCAGCTCAGAGCCATCCTGATGGCAAACTCTAACCTTAGTTGAATAAATAAATGAGGTATCTGAACTACCAGGGGGTAAAGATGGTGGTGGAGATACTGCCTTGGGGTCAGAAAGACAATCTGAAGTGACCCTGCCTCTAGGGGTTGGAGCTGGGGCTGAAGTGCCTTTCAGAATTGAGGTGGAACAAGAAAGTAGACCCATTTGGTTCCTCACCTGAATTAAGATGATTTCATCAAAGAAGTTTGCAGGAACCTCATGGAAATTCTGGAAGAAAAGCTAGCAGAAAGAATTGGGATGGGGTAGACCATGTTTTTTCCACAACTTCACCCAAAGACCCAGTAAACTTGAAATCTTAAAATAATGTGCTTCCTCCCCAACTGTGACTATTTCAATGACTCAGTGTACTACTGCCCTCATACTCCTCCAGGAGCACAGGAATCCTGGGTTCCTGGAGGATTTTCTACCGAGTTGTAGGGCAGAGGTGGGGATCCCTGGAGAACCTAGAAGCTCAAGGCCCCAAAAATTGCCCTAGGATTAAGCCTTTGCCTCCTTCTAGGTTGCCCGTACAACTCTGAAGTAGCCAGACCTCTTCTCTCCTGCTTAAGCCCTCTATGGCTCCCAGGTGGGACCTCAGCCCACACTGTAGACTCCTCTCTAGTCATAAATGCAGATACTATTCTGCCAACAAATCAAGCTACTTCTTGTTTCCGATCTTTGAAAACATTATTCCTTTTTCCCGAGTCATCTTTCTCCATCCTGTCCACATCTTTCCCCCTATCTTGTCCACATTTTTCCCTGGTAGAATCTTCCTTCAAGGTATATGGAGCTTTTTCTGAGTCCTCTCCATGTTCCCTCCCACCACCACCTCATTACTCATTCCTCCCAGCTTCCATCTTTAATTTTTCTATTCACCAATTAATTTAACAAGTATTTACCCAGTAACTTCTATGCATCAGACACAACACTATTAGGGCTCCCAATAGTGATGAGGTGTACATGGTATGGGCCTGCATTTTATAGTTTATTAACAGTGCTCTTCTGTCAGCCCCAGCCTGCACATGGCTCATGTGCTGTGCCCTGGCCACCCAGATCCTCAAATGCAGGATCTGGAATTATCCTTTTCTGTATGCCCAGTGTCAAGCACCATGCTTGGTCCTCAGTAGGTATTCAAAAAATGCTTGTAGAACAAACACTTGCAGACTCCCTAGCCAAGAAGCAAGCTTGCTCTTGCTGGCTCCCTGCAGGAAATGCCCAACTCCTGGCTGGCCCATCTGCCTGATATGCCCCATTCAGCTCACCTCATTGAAGAAAGGATTATTTCCCATCTTGACCCGTGTGCGGTGCCGATGGCCCGCAATGGTCACTTTTACCACTGGCTTGATGTTGTTGCCCAGGAGCTGTCGGGCTTCAAACACCTTCACCCGAACCTACAGAAGGAACACACAGGAGACTCAATGCTGGGGGCCCAGGCTCCCATTCTCATCCAGGATTCTTCTCTCAAGATCAAAATTGTTCCGACAAGAAACATTCTAGGTACTGTGGGGACAGAGAGAAGCCATGGGGAGAAGGATAGGAGGGGCTGCACTTGAAGAGGTAGCTTGGGTTATGAAGGCATGAGCACCTACTTTCAGGACCTCAATTTTATCCCAGAACATTGGCTTTTATTCTTTTTAAATAAGGGGCCTCCTATGTAACCTAGGCTGACCTCAAACTCCTGATCCTTCTGGTTCAGCCCCCCCCTCCACCCCAAGTAGCTGGGATTATAGATGTGTACCACCATGCCTGGCTGACACTGAAGCTTTTGGGGGGGGCAGTACTAGGATTTGAACTCAGGGCCTCATCCTTGCTAAGCAGGCACTCTACCATTTGAGCCTACTCCACAAACCCTGTTTTGTTGTTTTTGGTTTTGTTTTTGTGGTGCTGGGGTTTGAACTCAAGGCCTGCACCTTGAGCCACTTCACCAGCCCTGCTTTTGTGATAGGTATTTTTGAGATAGGGTCTCAGGAACTATTTGCCTGGGCTGGCTTTGAACCACAATCCTCCTGATCTCTGCCTCCTGAGTAGCTAGAATCACAGGGATGAGCCACCAGCACCCAGTTAACACTGAAGCTTTTTAAGCAGGTGCACGGCATGATGAATGGACATCTTTGAAAGACTACTTTGACTAAAACATGGACAGGAGCTAGCTATTGGTTGGAAGTTCAGGAGGCTGTCTCTCCATGTGGTTCAGGGAAGTGATGGTGCTGGTTGGGACTCGAAAGGGAAAAGGTGATGAAGTGGGAACAGTCAGTTGCTAGGAGTTGGCTATTGACTGGATGCAGGAAGAGAGGCAGTCAAGACTGGTTCCTACTTCCTGGGCAAGTGGCAGGCTGTGGAATAAGCAAAACTATGACAGGATTATTAGGCAACAATCTAGGGGTCAGAAGGAAGTTGGTTAAGGCATGGGATGGGTTTCCCAAGTTCACATGGAAACCATGGACCTTCCTATGGTTCCACTCATACACTCCACAGTTCATTTCATCTTGCATGTGCCTTCCCTTGTTTTTGCCAACAATACAAGGGCTCTGGAAGGGCAGAACTTATGTCTTCTGTTCTGTAGTCCCAGCATCTACCAGGGCCTGCTTGTGTACACCGGGCCCCTCTAATGCTCACTGGAACTATCTCTAACTTCAGCTATGGGTAGAAGAATGGTCCCTGGAGGAATAGAGGAGGCAGGCAGGATTTGAGGATTTGAAGTTGGGTCTGAAGCTCTGACTTAAAAGGTCAGACCTTGACCAATCTATCATGACCTTGTAGATTAGAGCAGATGGCTTGGGAGCACAGCGAGAGTGTCAGGTGGGACTCACAGACGTTCAGCCTGAAGCTTCCTCACCTGAAAGTTCTGAGGTTTGGAGGACAAAGCCCTGGGCACAGGGAAGCCAGTGATCATGAGTCTCTGTTGTGCTGTCTCTCTTGCTGTTATCCCCAGTAGGTCTTCATTATCTAGGGAAATACAGTCCAGAGTGGGCTCAGAGGCTGGAGCTCAAGAGGTTTGTAGGCATTTTCCCATTGCATTGTTCTGTTGCCAATGACCAGTTCCTGACTAAAAACATGACCAAGAGGCCCTGATAGGGGCACATGTCCTCCCCTGAAGATTCCCATGGGCCCTTCCCATCCTCAGGAACTGTGGAGCCTTGGACCCTACTTTTCATACATGAGGGACATTTCTTGGAAATGGCCATCTTTGTCTCCTTCTGCACATTGGAGGCTGAGCCATATGTCTGGAGGTGCTGAGGGAACATACAGGCAAGATGGATGGCTTTAGCCAAGTGCCTGGAGATCTGGCCACTAGACAGACCCATGTAGCTTCCAGAGACTTTAACCTGGTTGCGATCCTTCTATAGGCCTCAAGAGTTGAGTCTCAAAGGTCCCAAAAAGCCCATTCAGCTCTGCTTATAGAAACTCCAGAGAAGGACATACCTGTTTTCTCAATATCCTGGGGAGTTGCATGAGCCACCTGCAAGGTGACAGTACACTGCAAAGCAGAAGCAGGAGAGCTGTAAGCCAGACTCTGTAACCCTTGGCTAAGTCATAGCACCTGAGCCCCTTCCAGCCTGGATGGGTTCACATCCAGTCCTCCTAGGGGAGGTGATACTGGCTATGGTACAGGGCCACACTGTACGCACCTGTGCAGTCTGGGTGGAACAAAGTCATGAACTGGTGAGGAGAGAGAAATGGGCTACAGAGGAAAAGATCTGGAGGATGAAGGAGCCATGTAGTGGTGATGATGGCAGAAGATGAGAGTGGTGAGGAGAGAGAGAACCGTGATAACATCTCTTTCAGCAGTTTAATGTCTCCTGATCTCCTGAGGGAACTGCCAAAACCTCCTATTGACCTCCTGCCTCCAGACATTTATCACTCATCCAAACTCCAAAGTAGCACCAGAATTGCCCCCTAAGCCTCCCCCCACCTCCTCTCCCCTACCAAATGCCCTAAATGATCAGAATTAAGTTACAGTTCAGCAGCATAGACCACAAGGCCCGTCAGCTCTGGCTCCTGGCTGCCCACCCAAATTCAGCTCTCCTGTCTTTTCTTTTATGCCACCTCCAACATGCCAGTGATGCAGGCAGCCCACCCTCCCTAAATTTGTCTCCTGTTCACACACTTTATGCCCCTGCCTGGGGTTGCCTTCCTCTCCTGCTCAGTGGTCAAATTCATGCCCTTCTGAGAGACTGAATATGCAAAAATCCACGGCCAGACCACATATAAAAATAGAACCCTGACCACAATCTGCGACAACCAGTCCAGGAAACCAATCCATTATCTACAGTAAGCAACCCAGAAAGCCAGCCTTTGCTAAGTCCGACTAATAGGAAGTCAGACTGCTATCTCCATCCAACCATCCAGGAAGTCAAACAATAACGATCAGTTCCAATTTGGGGGGTACTGTCAACTGTACTAATTTTTGTCCCTGCTTCCAACTTAGGACCAACCAAAGAGAGCCAAATATGTATCCTGAGCCAATCACATGGGATGATGGGCTTCTACTTAGCCAGTCTTTGGTTCCCTCATGCCAACAGCCTCCAAACAGAGCTTGAATTTTTTGCATTGTAAAGCTTTCCCCCACTCCTCTGCTTGCTTCTGAGTCTCTGCCAACATTCAATGTTGTAGCCCAGTGCTGAGTATAGTTGTTGACTCTAGAGGAAGGTCAATTAATCCTTCTTAGTAGATGGATAGTGGGTAGATGGGAGATGGATGGCAGGATGGGGAATCAGGAGATGATGGCAATGTAATGGGGACCCCCCAGGGCAGGAAGCACTTCCTGGAGTAGGGCATTTCCTCCTCTAGAGTGGAGAAGCCCAGCTATACCAGTAGTCTACATGAATTCATACTGCTCTGCTTGGGCCTTCCAAGGCCTGACTCACGTTTGTGGGCTTCATGGAATGGTTGAGCAGGATCAAATCCTTCACAAAAAGGACCTCACTTGGTTTCATCACCAATGGCTTGAGCAGTATTGTGGCCAGGCCAATAAACCTTGGTAGATGAGGAGCAGGTATAAGTTCCAAGCCAGGACATAAGGGTGGTCTCCTCTGTCCCAGACAAGGCTTTAGGGAGGGATATTTTCTCCCAGAGGCTGAAGAACCCAGTGAGGTAGAGCATCCACCAAAGGGTGCAGTGCTCTCCACTCTGAGAATTTGCTTAGAGATCCCAAGATAAGTAATAGCTGATTGGACAGGAGTGGGCACCTGACCAAAACTAGGCCAATGAGAGTCTCTGTCCTGGAAACTTTGACCTGGTGTGCCATACCTTCTTTTTTAATGGAAGGTTAGTCTCTGTTGGGCAGTAGAATGAGGTCAGGATAGGAAGCCAAGATTCAGTAGAAGGTAGCAGAGATTCAAGATCTTTGGCTTCAAAAGGACGGAGCTGCTTCTGGAATCCCATTTGCATCCTAGCCAACCTTCACTCCCACACTCCCAGCCTTCCTACCCTTCTCATAGCCACCCCTCTTTTTTTCCTTTAGTGGCTAGAGTAGGTTCTAGTCCTTGCATCTGAATGAGTTTTGGGTTAGAAAGAAGAGAGCCATCATCTTTGGTGGTGCTTTGGTCAGGGAGTGAGGCTCCCCCCATCTCTGTCTGCTTCACCTTTCTTTCTTTTTTGATCCCATGTCCTGAAGAGTGACTTGCAGAAAGGAGTCATTTTCCAGGGGCTGGTTCCAGAGATGCCAGATTAGGGTCTGTGGGTGGGAGGTATGGAAAAGTCAACATTTTGCCTCTTCCTTCCTCATCTCACCCTTCTCGGAAATAAGGAGAAACCTAGGTAAGAGCTGGCACTGTGTTTCTCCAAAACCCAGGAGCTTCCCTCTTATTTTCCTAAGCAGATGGTGTTTGCTACCTTGCCCAAGGTGTGGTTATCCCACCTTGGTTCCTGTGACTTGAGCTACATGGGTGTGTTAGGAGTTAAGTGTGCATGGATGAAAGATGAGAGGGGATCCTCTCAGGCAGCCTTGTCTCTGTTTCATTCAGGCTTCTAGATATACCAGGATGGCCTGGTTGGATTAGTTGGTGGGTCATACTATGGTCCATTCCCAGAGGTGGGAGAGAAGGACTAAGAATAGCTGCAGGTAGATGTGGCTATTGCAGCCTTGTCAGATCAGAGGCTACTCCCAAGCCAAGATGCCTCAGCCTTGTGAGACTCCATGTCTGCTCCCTGACTCCCGACCCCACTTCCTGCCCCCTTGCTATTGGAGTTGTCCTTTCCTCTTCCAGGCCTTCCTGGGTTTGTCTACCTCTTTCCATGTGGGATCATTTCCTTCTGCCAAATGAGTTCTCTTCTTGACATCTGCAAAGACACCAAGGAATTGGCGTTGGTGGTAGGAAGTATTGTGATGTCTGGGTTTAAGTGGAATCAAGAAAGGTAAGACATTAAGAAATCAAGTTTCATGGGCAAGTATGACATGGCATCGATTATTTCCTTCTCTGGTTATTTCAATATTTCCTACTTTTCTCACCTTGTGTGATAGTCAATGCTTTGTGTTCATTTCATTTTCTTCCCAAGTACATATTTCCTAGTATCTTGCAACCAAAAGGAGCTATGGGACTCATTCTGACCAATGAGATATAGAAGTGATATTTGTCACTGCTAGGCCTGGTTCCTAAAATCTCCATGTGAGTCTCCGTCCTCTTCCTTTCCACTCTCCATGGCCACCCTCATGATGAGCTGACAGGGTGGTTTCAGGGCGGCTTTACAGCCATAAAGGGACAAGCAGCTGGTCTCTACACTGTTTGGATGAGCCACACAGGAGGTCTCTCTCATCGTCACCATCTATGCAGGACTGTTTTAACAAGAGGTAAACTTTTATTGCTGAACCTCTGAGATTTTAGTCTTATTTATAACAGGGCTAAGCCTAGTGTCCCCTAAGATGTCCTGAAACATCTGTAATAGGTGAAAGCTCTTTATCCACTAAAATCTCTCTCCCCTAGAAATACCTTTAATAGATGGCAGTCTATAGCTTCGCAAAAGAATTTCAAATTGTTAAATTACTTGGAACTTCTCCTAGGGAAAGAATGTGTATGTGTGTGCACGTGTGTGTATGTGTTTGTGTGTGTACACATGCATGCCAGTGGATGGTGGGAAGGGGTACAGGGTAGTGGGTGGTATATGAAGGAAGAAGCTAGTAAGAACAGGGTCAAAGGAATAAAAAAGTATCAAACAAATGGGAAATCATAGGGTTTGTGGGTACATCTGTGAGTAATCCCAGGATTCTGGGTATCAGGCATTTTTACAAGAGTTATTTTTAGAAGAAGAAAAATGTGATGTGGTATGGAAGATGGCCTTGGGAGAGGAGTTGCTGGTCTCTTGCCTGGATAATCCTAATACTAGTCAATCAGGGCAAATACATACTATACTCTCACACCACCTTTAAAAACCTGCAAAGTGGGGACATAAGCCTACATCACCCTGTGGAGCTCAAAGTCCCAAATGTTCACTCTCAGTGTTGTGTTCAACAAGAGTAGTTTTATAGAGCAGAAAGTCAGGTCTTTTCATTCTTTACTCAGATCTCTTGTAGGAACTGAAGTCATCCCTTAGTTTCCCTAGGGAAGTGGCTCCAAGATCACCTGTGGATACCTAAATCCATGGATGCTCAAGTCCCTTACAAAAATCACCCGGTTTTTGCACAGAACCTTTGCACATCCTCCTGTATATTTTTAATCACCCCTAGATTACTTATAGTAGCTCACAAAATGTAAATTTTATGTAAATTATTATTATGCTATATTATTTAGGGAATAATGACAAGGAAAAAATACATCTATTCATGTTCAGAACAAATGTACTCTTTTCCCCAAAATAGTTTTGATTAGTGGTTGGTTGTATCCACAGATGCAGGACACACAGACATGGAGGGCCAACAGTTCTGTGTCTTTTTTTGGGGGGAGGGGACATGATTTTCTCATTTCCAACAGTTTCTGGAAATCCTCATTGTCCTGTACCAGTCTTCCATATTCTCAACCAACAGATGTGCACCATTTTTTTTTCCTATTACTTCTTCCTTTCTGGTTCCCAGGTCTTTGATATCAAAATATACTTAATTTCTCTCATAAATTCATTTATCCCCTTCTTCTCCCTACCCTACTTAGATTTATTTTTCCTTATTTATAAAAAAATGGAGATGATAAAACCTTACTTCATTGAATTTCTGTGACTAGCAAACATCGTGATATTTATGAAAAGTCTTTGTCAATTGTAAAAATCATTCAAAAGTAATTAATATTAGCCTGGAGTGCTGATGTATACCAGCAATCCTGGCACTCTGGAGGCAAAGACAGGAGGTTGAGAGTTTAAGGCCAGCCTGGGCTATGCAGTGAGTTCCTGGCTACAAAGCAAGCCCGTCTCAAAAAAAAATAAACAAACAAAAACCAAAGGAATTAATATTAACATTATCAAGCAGTCATTAGTCATTAAGGGCTTCCCATATGTTATCTTTTGAAATCCTCATATCAGTCCTTTCTTTAAACTTGCTTATGGCATAGCTCTAGTTCATGGAAGAAGGTCTAGAAGCATTTATTCCTCTTCTTTCCTCATAACCATTCCCTGATAGGTAGGGGAAATGGGAGGCAGAGAAGTCATAATAAAATGAGTAACAGCAAAAAGATTATGGGTTTCTTGCTTTTTGTTTGTTTGTTTGTTTTGTTTCACTGTGCTGGGGATGGAATCCAGGGTTTCATACCTGTTAGGCATGTGTCCTACCACTGAACTACATCCTCAGGCCTGGGTAACAGGTTTTGAAACAACTGAACAGTGTGTACTTCATCATTGTCACACAGGGCATCTTTTACATAGTAAGGATGCCAATAAATCTATTTTTTCACTGAATGTATGTTGCCTCTTGGGGCTCCTTTCTGTCATTTGGACCCTGGCTCTCACCTCTGAAGTGGACAGTCAGGCAGGGTCTGGGTGGGGGACTCAGGGGTGGGTCAATCTTGGCTGACTCCACAAAAAGCCGTAGCATTTTCCTTCCCTCTGCGGTGCTACAGCTTTCTTCTTGGAGTTCCTTGGTCCAAGGCTTCTCGCAGGTAAGTAGAACTTAGCAACAGAGGGGGTGTCACAGAGGGGGATAGTTCTGTGTTCTGTAGAGGAATCTTGGGGAGTGAGAGGAGGGAGAAATAACAGTATGTGTAAAGCAAGTGGCCTGCAGAAACAAAACATTCTGACTGCCTTGACAGTTTCTCTTTTCTTTTTTCTCCTATTCTGTTATCCCTCTGATTTCAAGATCAGGCAGAAGAGCTATGTTTTCTCTTTGTAGAAGCAAGTTTCTGGAGTGCAGCATTGCCAAAGCCATGCAATTTAGATGACAAAATAAAAGAAGTAAGACCATTAGAGAAGAGGTTTAGAGAAATCAAGGACTTTCCCCCGACTCCGTTTTGAGACAGAATCTTGCTATGTTGCCCAAATTGGCCTTGAACTTGAGATCCTCCTGCCTCAGCCTCATGCTCTCATGGACTGTTTCAATGAGACCTCAGGGAAAGTTCTTCCTAATAGGCCACCTTTTTGCTACAGGAAATCCAAGTTTAGATATGAATTCCTCTTTAGTACAGGGAAATCAGCTTTTACTTAATGAATTCTTATGCTGGCAGGGTTTATAAGGTTAAAGAAAAACATCAAAGCCAACACAGTTGTGGCTGTCTTTATTATTGTACGGGTGGTTGTCCTGTTGTCTATACTAGGGAAGGCCTTTTTGACTTTAGCATTGAACATTGCATACACTATGTCTTAGAGTGTCTTATAGAGTGAAAATTAATGGACTATTTTAAAGGTATGTATTAATTGATGAAACGAGCTAGCAGTAAGCTTACTTAATTCATGCAAAAACATGAACAGCATTCAAAGACTGGATATGAGATCACGGTGGTAACCTTGCTTTCCAGTGCAGCGGATTTAAAAACAAATAGAACTTCTGATAGTTTTCCTTAAAATCTAAATACAGCTCAATGATTTTCGCTTTGTTAATTATTTTCCAAACTAAGCATAGACCCCCCCACAGAGGAAAACACTGATGTATTTGGCTGGATAATGTTAAAAATTCAGGGTACACCACCATGCCTGTAACCCCAGCACTTAGGAGTCTAAAGCAGGAGGACTATGAGCTTGAGGACAGTCTGGGCTACATAGCGAGACCCTGTCTCGAAAAGCCAAAATAAATATGAAAATAAAATTCAAATTCCTGTACAGAAAATATACCATTAAGTTAAAAGACAAATATCAAAGTAGGAAATGCATTTGCAATATATTTAATATCCAAAAGGAAAGAGCTGTTAAAATTTAATGTGAAAAGATTGCTCCAAAGGAAGATGGGGAAAGTTCATACCAGACTTAGTATAATGTTTTTCAAAGTTTGTCTACGTAGTAGCTATATCGGTGTCCATTGCTTTTTGTGGTTGAGTCAATTCATTGTGTGGATATACCACATTTTGT